GAGAGAGAAAATAAATGTTAAAAAAACCAACAACAAGGACAACAGCAAACCCACAGTAAAGCATTATGGATCTAAACAGACAGCTGATATGAGGTTTTGTAAGAACCTGTGTTACCTCTAGGAATAAAATCCGTGAATGTATCCTTGAAGCGTTTGCTGGGCCACCTGACTGTGGGGAATATTCACCCTCTTACCAGAAAACTGTCAACTGCATCCAGATGCACGTCCTTTGCAAAGTACCACAGGTATTTTCATTCCTCTTGCTGATGTTTTACTTTAATGAATGTTAACCAGACCACTTGAGAAGACCAAAATGAGGCTAGTATTTCCTCTGGCAGTTCTAGGTAAGACTGGAAATTGTTTGGTGGTACAGCTAGATGGTCTGAAAAAAATGTGAACACACTGAGAAGTTCCCATGCTGCTCCCCAGCTGTGAACACAATGGGGGAGAACATATCACTCAGTGCTTGGCAGGACATAAGTAAAAGTGAAAGGAGTGCTACAGCATTGTGTACGCATTCCATAGACCCCATACATGGGGTGGGGAGGGACTGTTTGCACTGCTTTTCTTTACAGTGAGTGAAAATACTAGCAGACTGTTGGCTAAAAAGGTGCCCTAACTCATTGTCTCATCTATTGCCTTGGTTTCAGGTACAAGTCATAGAAGTCGTCTTGAACAACACTTTTTATAATGTTGTAGACATGAAGAATCTAGGCTTGACCAATGACAAAGAAGTAAGTAAATGCTTCAAGCACAACTTGTCTGGACTCTAGAAATACTCAGCCTTAAGGCATAGAAGCAGTTCTGCATAGAACAGGGTTAAAAGGAGCAAATTTTCTCTCCCAGCCCAGTGAAAGCTGCACCTTACTTCTGAAAGAGATTTACACTGATTGATTACACAGGAAAGATAATTGCCTTTCTGTGTTGTTGAGAAAAGCTAAAGGAGTACAGTGGAATGCTTTGGCTATCAAAGGGATCTGTAACAGAGACTACCACCTGAAAAATCATTCCTGTTTTCACCAGCGCTTTGACTTTTGGTTATAATATCAACCTGTGCAGTTTTAACCAAGCAGAATGCATCATGGCATCCTTTCACATAGCCAGGTAGTGTGAAAAGACAGCCCACTATGGCCCTTCCTGCTCCACTGGCAGCACTGAGCTGCCAGAGAACATCCTTGGTGCAGTGGGGTTACAAGCAGATTAGCTAGACCATAGGCTAACCGAGTGACTGAAGATCAGCACTCTACAGGAACAGTGAAGGGATGTTTTTGTAGCTGTTAGGAGCCAAAGCAGATTGGTCCAACACTGGACAAGGTATCAGCCTGTGATCAGGCAGAGGGTCAGAGATGTAGGGGATGAGATACATTTGCTTCTCCTTCCACAGCTGCTCTAGCTGACAGCCAAGCCCAGCTGAAAGTCTGTTATGTTACCCTTGTGTGACAGAGAGAAACTGGGTTATTCCATTTTGCATCAGTGGTCTATAGTGTTTACGCTCTAGTCACCCTCCCTAAGTCTTGTGATTTTGCTATCCTATCCTTGCTGTCTTTCAGGTGGACATTATAGATCCACTTTATCTTGAGATAACATCTACCATTGATGTTCGTAAGAGAAGGAAAGGGCCTGGACATGATTTTATGAATTGGTGAACAGCTGTAGTTTCTGCTGTGATGTTGTTGGCACATCCCTGTCTCAGAAATGACTTGTTTGTTTGTGCTCGTCTCCCTCAGGTTCTGGTTCCAGTGGAAACTCCTTATGGCTCCTGCGCTTGCACACTTGGCAGGAAGACATTCTTAGAAGCACAAGTCCATATGCTAAAAGATGAAAGGCAAAATCTGTTTGGACTGGCAGCTGCCCAAAGAAACTAAAGTTCTTGACTACACTCACACCTTCCTGATAAACTTAGTAGTATGGCTTTCCTATCAACATATACTTCATATTGGCTGCTTCCATTGCTGACTAATTTTCTCACTATGAACTCCTGAGATTAGGATTTCTGAAGAACCCTCAGGAATTCAGAAATCAAAGTCTGTCCCTGAATCTCAGTGTGATTTGAAGATTAAAATCCCCTATGCTCTTTTGGAAATCCCAGCTGGAAACATTACAGTAAATTAATTTTTAAACCAGCTATTCCCAGACCTCTTAATGAAACAATTAACTTGATAATGTCTATAACATGGTTTTGTCATGTAAAATCAGCAACTCTGTATATTCTATTTATTAATGATCCTTTAGAAAAATGAATATACAGGCACAAGAGCAGACGTTTCACTGACGTAACCTGTCATGACCCTTTGATGCCACACTGCTCTACAGGGCTGAGGTTCTGACCCTGTAACTGCACAGGGAATCAGATACTGATTTCTTTGTGAAGGAAATGAAGAAAAAAAAAAAAAAGGAAAAGAAACGAAAGTCTCTCTCGTATCTCTCCTTTGAGGTGTGAATAGTAACAGCTGTTGACTAATTTCTCTGCATGTATTCTGACTGCATGGCCCCTGCTGCTACTCATCGGACTACACAGTTACTATATAACTACTTTCATATTAATCCCTGAGGTGTTTGAGGTTTTGGGCTATCTAATTAAATAGTTTTCCTAAATCTGATATGACTCATGACTTTTGAGCAGGCAGGAATCCACCTAAGTAACCCTATTACTTTTGGGAGGGGTAGGAAGAAAGCTAGACAGACAGACAATGCGTATCTTACTTTAGTTATGCCAGGTGATAACTTTGAACATAGAGATAAAACTATACAGCCAACGGTTCTCATCTTGCAAACTGAGGCTACCATATTTGAAACAGAACTTCTGACAGCTTCAAGACACTGTTCTCATTTTCTGAGTGTCATTTTCACAGATTCCATGTGACAGAGTGCAAATCCAATGGGAATTGCCCAGTTACTTTTGAAAACCACAATTCAGTTGTTTTTGTGCTTTCTCAGTTTGGCAAACCTGCAACATTCCTCTGGGTACAATCATTAAATTCACAGGCACTGAAAATGAGGAGCATGTCCTGCACTGTGTGACATTTTGAGGTGCTTTGTAAGATAGGAACTTGCTTTGGTGAGCAAGACATACCAGATGCAAAGGGAAGACACTGCTCACAAGCCTGAGATCTCTCCTGAAAAACAACAGGACAAATGACATTACAAAGTGAGGCTCTCCCAGATATGCTGCTCTCTGGTCACTAGGAAATTCCAAAAGTTTTATTTGCAACACTTTCAGCTTTTGCCAGGGACATTCTTTCATACCTCGTTAGATTGTGTTGTGTTGTACTTGCGGGCTAATGTCTTGCTACTTCTGCCATTTTCAAGTGCTTGTAATTTATTAATGTATCTTTTAAGGGCAAATAAAGAGCAACATCAAAAGAACAAACTAGTATTTGACTATTTACCAAATAAGAAATGAAACCATTTACTACCTATATAGAAATGCAAACACTGTAAGTAAAGAAATATGTTTTAGTTCAGCCAGTTTTACCTCAAAAAGTGACCAGTCCTGTTCCAAATGACAATTCACTATCAGTAGATGGAAAAACAGATGAAAAAGGATCTTACTGAATATTCTGGCATTTACCTCTTTCTAAACAAGGCAGATCTTCACAATGCACTTCCTCTCTACCTTATGAGAAATTTATTGTATTAGGCAGAAAGTTTCCTTTGTTACTATTTCTGCTTCATTTGTGGGCTTGTAAGGTAACAGTGGACTAACCTTCCTGGCAGAACAAGGACACAATGCAGCAAGTACTTTTTTGTTCAGACTTTCCTGTGGCAACAAGCACACATGTACACTCATGCAATGTGGTTTCTGTAAACCTTTACAGACATGCAGATTTTCGTCAAGTCTGTAAAGGCATTTCAGCACAGCTCCATGCAGCACTGAAAACTCAAGTCACTTACGTGGGCAGACTGCTTCTAAAGTACTTAAGCAATCGGAAGAAGGCCAAATTTTCCATATGCAATTAGATTCACATAAAAATAGCATAAATAATTCTCAGAAATGGGACTTAGCCAGACTTATCTGGGCCTGAAACCTGACCAAGTTTCCACTGGCTTCATTAGATTCAGTCTCCACAACGGACTTGCATTATTTTAATTGAAAGATATTTTTTGTTTCACTTCCTGTCCTGAGGAGCTGTTCAAGTTGTTTACTGTGTTCTACTCAGAGGCAACAGTGATGCTTTGCTGGTGAAATCATACTTGATGAAAATAAGCAGCAGCTAGCAGATCACAGAATTAGCATTTAAATACAACTTCTTGCTGGTAACATGAACCTTGCTGGTCCTGGGCTACATCCCAGTAGTTTCTAGGGCCTGGAGCCTTCTACCAAGAAATATGGTGTTTCATTGCGCAAACAATCATTTTAGCATCTGATTCTTTCACATCCTGTTTCTGTTCAATTCTGATAGCTGCCCAGGACAGTCCAACAGCTATCCTTCTCAGTTGCCGACCATGCTCCAAAACCAACCAGTATCACACAGATAAAATGCACTAGCTAAACGCATTAGCCAGTTTTTTAAACAGAGATAAAGTATCACTGTCAGGGTCAGTACAAGTGATCTGTCTTCACTGGCTGTATTATTCTATACATATATTCAGGCTACCTGTTTTCCAACACACATTTAAACCTTTGAAGGGACCAAAAAAATCCCTTTCTGGCTAGAAATCCCCAAATAAATAATTCTGAAGTTAGAATTCTGCAATCTGTGTGCATACAACAGCCAGCTATTTTCTTCCTGAAAGTGCACAGCTGTACCTAAAAAGGAAACCTATTGAATGTCTCCAGATATAGGATCAAAAATGTAAACTCACATCTCAGCTATAATTACGATATAAACTGTTTTCTGAGATTGATCCTTACCATTCATAGCAAGCTGGTCCCATATATACATGCATATTAGAAGGTATACATATAAATTAGAAAAGGTATTATAAATTGCACTTACTAGATCTGATGATGTAGGACCAATCTATAGCAATCAAATAAGAAACAACACATGATGGTGTTAGTTGTTACATAAATTTATTACAGACTTACAAACTCTCCACTGCATTGAGTTGAAGCTTGCTACATCCTCCTCAAGGTTCATACCAAATTACACCCCAGGAAAGCAGTTCACCTCTGCCAGGCTCACAAAAAAAGTGATGGACAGAACCAGGAAAGGGGCACATACCCTATAGGTGCCTGCCAGAGAGAGCTGGAGGAGTACTTCATGACTTGTGCGGCAGAAGCAAACATAATCATTCAGTCCTGTTAGCTGACCATAGCAGGTCAGGTATTGCTGCAAGTAAGTGTTTCCCTGTGGGGATGAGCATTTGTAGCCCAGGCCCCAACGGATGGACGTGCACAGGAGGGCCAGCCTAGAAGTGGAACATAAGGTAACAGAAGAGAGAGAGACACTAGAAGATAAGCACAAAGATGAGGGGGAGGAAAAAAAGGGGGGGAAATACACTCATAGTAAAAAATATCAGACAAATCAAAGTCGCAGAAAATAAAATAATAATTAAAAAAAATAATAAATCAGTGAGGACATCTCTCCCATATATCTAGCCAGTATCTCTCCCATCTGGCTACTTCACAGCTGGAAACAAAAACCCAAACCAAACAATACCGGAGGGACAAAAAAGTAGAAAAATAAGGGGAGTAGAGAAAACTTTGGTGCAGAAGGAAGCATAGCAACAGAATCCAGAGTACACAAGTACTAAAGGTGGCTTCTGCCACCCCTCAAGAGTGACATTAGGCATGAATTCCCATATTAACATCTACACCTGACTGCAAAAGTCACGAGCTCAAGTTTTAATGGCCTTGCACTCCTGCCGTGTTTCCAAGTAGAGAAGCCCAGGCAAAAAGGCATGTAGTATTTATACAGAAGGGAGGAAGAAGAGGAGTATCCTTGTGAAACAGGACTGCTACACCCATGCGCATGCCCACTTCCACGCTTCTCCCTGTGGTTTGGCCACCAGCTGGGGAACAGACTCAGCTACAAGTTCCTTACTCTTTACTTCCTTCCTCCTGCTGCAGTCCACCAGTACAAGATAAAGCAATGTTACTCTTGAATCAGACATCAGTGCAAATGATGAGCCTTCCCTCCCTTTTTTGATACGATTTAGCTGTTACAAAGTCAGGGCATTCCTCAGTGCAGTGACTGCTGCAGTGTTCATAGAGGGGCAGCTGGATTATAGCAATCATCTGGAAAGATGAAGGGAACATCCTGAGATGAGTGCAGGCTTGCCAATGCCAAGACATTTGTTGTTGCTTTATCAGCAGATCAGCTGATGATACAGCAGTTATAACTGCTGACTGCTCCTTTAAAGAAGATGCTCACAAGTGCAGCATATAAATACAACAGCGGTCTCCTGTACTCACCAGCAGCCTTCAGAAGCAGTGGAACTCTCACATGGAAACCAAGGGCCACTTAGAGTCTTCATGGTGCTCCCCTTGGGCTCTCCAGGTGTTTGAGGCTACAGTTCTATCCCCCAGATTTACAGCATCTACCACATAATGTTATTCTGGGAGTAAGTTGAATACGTATCTGGGATCCAAAGGAGCATCACTAAATCAAACAATTCCCGAATTATAGGGGCTAAGCAAAAAATAATTTAATGAACCTGTTACATTATCATATTGAAAAGAAGTCAGCCTTCCCAATAGGAATTAAAGTTATGTATTAAATCAGTCTGCGTATTACTCCAAGGGAAGACTGCCTTTGCGGGCTGATGACAGCCACTGCCATCTGCACTACCCCTAGGGGAAGCTGCTGTCAAAACTGAGCAACGCAGAGGTGAAGGTGTATGGAGGCCTTTGGTGTGACAGAATGGGACATGGATGGGCTCTCCTGGCTGACATTTCCCAGCACCAGTCAAGTCCTCTTGTTCTGTTGGAGGAAGCAGAAGCCAATCCATTGCCTGTGTAAATTGTCCCAGAGGTGAAGGTGAGAGAGCAGAACAGACTTTCTCTGTGCTGCTCAATTCATCCCACTGTCTGCTGAGACAGTGAGGGTTAGTTACATTGTTGACAAGCAAATTTGCAGTCAATTTTGTACCTGACTTTGAGACCAAAACTCCTTCCTGGAAAGGAAGGAACTGCTGTTCTGACTTGGAAGTAAAGAACCAGAGTGGAGAAAGTGAGATAATGTTTTTTCTGGTCCTGCTCAGACTCAGCCTTCAAATTTTAGATAATATTGCCATTAAAAAAAAAAAAGAAAAATACATTTGTAGCTTCCCCCAGACTCGCAGAAAGTAAGACCCTCTGCTTCTCAATTTACTGTGATTGTAATTGAAGTGTGACAGTGAAAAGAGGAGTGCTGAAGATAACTGGCCAATTAAATGCTCATTTTTAAAAAGAGGAAGTAGTAAAGGACTTGGTAGAACTTGAATCTGTTGAAAAAAAGCAGTGAAAAGACAGAAGAGTTCATTTAGTGAGTAATCACTGATAGTGAGAACTTAATGTGACATTTTGCCTTGACCATTTCTAACCAGGAGTGACCCATGGGGAGCCGCTCCCTTTGCTACAGATGCAGAGTCTTGTCCTAGAATTATAAAAGCAAAGAATTTTTTCTACAGGTTGAACAAGTGCATCACATAAGAGCAAACTGTTTTAAAGTAACACAGAGGGAGGGGAGATACCAGCAAGCAGACAGACCCGTTTTCTCTGGCTTGAGAAAGTGACCTTGGTGGATAGACACAGCCACAGCCTCCATACATATGGAGGCTTGTATGTGCTTTACGTGTGGTACCTGGTACTATATTTGGATGCAAAGAGAACATGTTATACATTGTGTATCCACAGCTTGAGAGGACAGTGAACATCAGAGCTGATGAACAGTACTAATATATATTTCACAACCATCATACAAAAAAAAATCTGTAATGATTTCAAATAATTTTTAAAAGTGCTATGAACGATTCTGATAAATGTGCACTAGTGGTGTTATGAAAAGGGTAAGAAGAGGGAAAGAGAATTAGGAGGACCTTGGCTGTAGCACGTGTCTCTGTTCTTGTGCTGACCCGCAGCAGAGCAGGGAAGCTGAATGTTGTTCTGCTCCTTTAAAACTGCCTCTAGGAGAAGGAGGCCACTCTCTAAACTGCTGGTTCAGCGTGACAGCGAAGAGACCTGCAGCACTGAGACCATCCTCACTCTCACACCCACTATCAACTCAGCAGTTGGGCAGTGGCAGCTTAACTGCCACCCAAAGCAGAGAGGTCTTTTAAGGAGGAGGATCTCTCCTATCTGTAGGCACATTAAGGGCATGTTATAAGTGTATTCTTGCAAACTCTGTGACTGCAGAAGTGCAGTATCGACAGGGTATCCAGTAATGGCCATCAGTCACTTCCTCATCTCAACAGCAGCTGTGTTTTCTGCAAGAGAACTGGGAGCTAAAAATAATCTGGCTTTGACTTCCTCTCTCAAAGCCGCCAGTCTCTTTTTAAAAGATTTTTATTCTCACAGAAAAAAGCAAGGAGAACGTAACTGACAAAATCAGAACAGTCACCTGCACAAAGTGAGCAGCAGCATTAGAAAGCTCAGAGAACAGCAGGAAACTACAATATGGATCAGGGACATTAAAAAAAGTAATTGTTACAGTTCTGAGCAACCTCCTCCAAATTCCTTTTCACATTTTGCAGCAAGACTTCCATTAGGTCTCTACTTGTACAAACCAGTAAGTGGAGCTGATCAAAAGGGAAATACAACCTGGATGTCTCTGCAGCTCATTTGTTCATTAAAACATATTAAATGAACAAACAGTGCTCAGTAATCACCAAATGTGCTCTTGCAGCTACAGTAGAGATTTTACTCACTCATGGAATAAGTATGTTTTAATTTTATGTCATCCATAGATCCATGAAATGTGTTAATCCCACACCAAGCATGCATATGGAGAAAAAGAGAATACTCAATCTTTCATACATAGCACTATGTATTCACCTGCAACAATAATCCTACAAAAAAAAAGGGCTGGTAGGCATCTCCAGACTGCGACACATAGCTAGTTCACATAATCCTTTTCATAAACATACTGAAATCTCTATTAAGATATTTTGGAAGATCCCTACTTCCAGTAGGTATGTCTGGACACTGTCAAAATATAAATAAAATCATAAGCGGAATTCAGACAATACTTGAAGTGAGCACAATATGAAGGACAGAAACAGAAATGGTGAATACATGCCCATCTCCTATCATGTGTCTCAAATTCCAAATAAATATATTGTACAAAAAGTATACAAGAAAGCATGCTGCTGTGCATACTTTATGCATTATACCATATAATGTGAGCTTTACCTAAGTAGAAGTTAATAGGTACAGCATACCTATTAACATGGCTTTACCACTTCTCAAATCTCAACTCTAAAAACCAAAAGCAACTCTTTTAGCACTGCAGCATCAACAATCACACCCTGTGCCTGGCCAAGTCAGAAACGAAGGCAGGGCCCCCGCCTAGGCAGGAGATTAAAGTAGCTTCTCCTTCCTCTTCCTGAATCCTGCTCCTACTTGGCAGAAAGCACCACTCTCTTTTTACCTTCTTCCTTCTCAGTTGCACCCCCTTACTATTTCCTCCCACACCATTTCCACTTTCACCACTCTCCTGCTTATTTCCTACTTCCCAGTTCCTTTGCTAAGCCTCACTGATGCAACCTCACATCCCAGCTTCTGGGGTCATCACAAAGCTTTCATGGCCCCAGAAGACGGTGATCCCAGACACAGATAAACCATGGGCTGGCCATCTCTCAGGCATTTTAAGGCAAATCACCCTACTCTACTAGGGCCAGCACAGCACCTCTACACCACTGATGGCTCTAGAATGTGGTAAGAGAAGCACATATGCTACTGGTGAACTGTGACCAGGGCTTCTCCTTCAGCAGTATATAACACTAGATAAGAAAAAGCAAAAATAATTCTGTTTTTAAATATTTTGGTAGGTGGTATTAAAAGTAATCACAAGAACATAGAATATTAAGTTGGTTTTGGTACCTTTTTAATGTGAAAATGGAGAAAACCAGGAGCTCAAATATACCACAACAAAGAATCAGAGAACGTAAAAGATCTGTAAAGTAAACTGAATCCAAACATAAGCAATGCTTTATTGGGATATAGCAAGCAACCTATCAAATAGGGAACTGGTACAAACAGATTGAACAAGACTCTCTTTTAACAGAGATGTATGGTGATGAGACAGCTTCCTTCAGTTTTAAAACAAGTATACAAACTGTTAAATAAAGCATTAAAAAAATCAACCATTACACCACCAATGACAGACAATATTAGAAATGTGCAGAATTTTGCTCTTTTTACAAATTTCTGCATAATGTTAAAAAACAACTTATAAATTAGAAAAAGGAATAAAACAAAGCTTTTTTGTTTTGTTTTGCAAAGCAACACAAACTTTTAAAAACCAACTATACTTTACATAGAACTACTATTAAAACCAGGTGAAAACAAGCTGAAAATTTAAAGGACAGCAAAAAATACACAACCCAGTTTCACCTGTTGGCAACACCTTCTGCTATCGAAGGGGTTATGTTAGTTGTATACACAGCTCTAAACATTGCAGCATACCACGAGTAAACCTTAATAAGGTCAAAATAGGACCCTCTGCAAAAAAGGGTGACTTGGCAAGTGTCAGTCCCATCCTAAAATTACAAGTAGCAATATTTTTAGTAGGTTTTTAGTATAAACCAAAACCTACCTTAATTGGTTTCTCTCTCCCAAAGATGCATGTAAACTTTATTTGGGTTTGGGGTTTTTTTGGTATTTTAATTCGTGAAATCAAGAACATGTCTGGCTCAAAAATGAGATTGACATACCTCTCTTTTGTTCTGGATACAGTGATGTAACTATTTCAACATGTTCATTGACACTTCCTAAAAGAGAAAATCATTATGTACTATGTAAAAAATACACACCACTTCTCTCAGTTCAGACTCAGTATATAGTATATTGCCAACTCTATCCAATAGGATATATATAATAATTTGGTTTAAATTCTTAATAGATATATTTTCTCTTTACAAAGTTCCACCACATGAAACCAAATTGCTTATTTGTTGTTTGAGGCACAACATGACCCCAGTTAGATAATTTACTATAAAGAGTTGTTCTTTAGATGTTGTGTCTGTAGAGGTTTAACATGATATTCATAGATTTTCAGCGCAGGCCCCAGTTTTAATGAAAGTCCAGTCAGTACATCATTTCTTGTCATCAAGAGTAATGATTTGCCATCAATTTCCTATAAGAAGAATTAAAGAGTTTATAAAGACAAATGTACAAATTTAACAGATGAGAACAGTCATGCAACAAATGGAGGACTACTACAGAGGATCAATGAGAAAAAAAATAGTAGCTTTTATTTTCCTTAAACTGTGTTTATAGCTGCTGAATTCTGCTGTCGGCTTTTCAAGTGCTCACTTGTGCTGACTAAAGCATAAATACTGTGTAGTCAAGCACAAAACCCAAATAAGCTTTATTTCAAAATTCCCTCTTTGTAAATCTATTTCAAATTAATAGGCACATGTGCAGATCGCCTAATTGTCGACATTAAGAGAAGGACACTCTCAAGAAAGCAGCTTATAAAGTGCATTCCAGGAGAATTACCACTGACAGCGATAGGCAAGTTTGGGCTAGTCAGTATCTGCTAATAACTTCAGATGCCTTTTTTAAAAGGCCAACCTTCCCATGTGCCCTGTGGTGAAGGCAGGAAAAGACACCTGCAATCAGAAATTTTAGAACTACTTTTACTATTTACTATTTAGACTACTGTGGAACTCAACAATGGGAGGGAACTTCTTTGATTGATTGTTTTGTGGGGTTTTGTTTGTTTGTTTTTTCCTCAAACCTTGCCTTTCTAACCTATGTAGATTAGAATCCTGTAGGCTTTAGGGTTTGGTTTTTTTACTTCAAAACCTTGTTGTATATTTGAAAACTACCTTTAAATGATTTCTCAAAGGTCAAAAGAGAAAGAATCTACACCTTTCAACTCCCATGTCTGTTTTAGACATGGGACCATTCTTTTCTTTACACATCTTTACAGTTCAATCACAATGCACTACTCAGGAAACAGGAGCAACAGCTAATGCATTGACTGGTGTCTCACAACACAGCGAGACCTCCTAGGGCTGTCCTAGCCCAAAGCAGTATGTAGCTTTATGGCATTCTCCTGCTATAAGGACTGAACTTGACTCTGCTGTTGCATTCTTTTTTTAATTAAAAAAAAAAAAAAAAGAACAAAATAACCACAATTATTAAATTTGTTATCAAAAGCCAACAACCAGTTCAAATGCTTGCATATATTGTTGCTGTCCATGACAATGTATTGCCAAAATTTTGTATTTTTATAAATATTATAAACATCACACATCAATTTATCCCACTGCAGCATCTCTGGAGTACTAACTGTTGTCTTGGAAATGTCAGAGATCCCATCCTTGATTACAACTCAACATAAAAGGAGGAAGACTTACATTAGAGTTATTAGAGTTCAGCATGAATTTGTCCATACTTATCTCTCTTATGATTGTAGGTACAAAATACATGGGCAAACCACAACATACCCAAAGGTCAGCTGTAAGAATTTCTTTAAATGATGACTGCTGGTCCATCAGGGGAGCACAGTGTAAAAATAGTTCCAAAAGTTTCCAGTAACTTTTTACCCAATTATATCAGGTGCCTCTTTCCAGTTACTGCTGAGAATGATGACAGTTAAAACCAGTTTCTATCCTCTCTTTTCCATTCATCACAATTGTTTTTTGTGGGAATTTTCACACCAGCGAGTGTTTTGCTCATTGCTGTGACCTATCCTGAAGTTGCCTTTTCTGTTGTTGTTCAACAATGCTATGGAGGAAGAACTGCCTCCAAATGAAATAAATCCAGTACCTGCAACTGGACAAACTCCAAGAACAGGAAAAAAACATTGACTCCTTTCCCTTCTTCTTCCACATGGCTCCCCATGGATTCTAGAAATGTTGGTAACTTTAAATGAATAGAAAATTGATTCTCTAAACATATATGTGTAGAAATGAATGATATCTTTGTGTGTATTGTAAGCTCTTCCACTTTTTTTTAGTTTTCCACTTAAACCTGCTTCCCTACACTTGTTAGTCAGTCCAGTTTTTGGTGCCAGGTAAGCTTTTGTATGTTTTGGTGACTTCTCCAAATTTCTTCTCTGCTACTTCTCTATTTCCTGGACTTTTTTCAGGATGCAACTTCAATGCCAGCTTTTGTTATGCCTTTTTAATGTCATCTGTAGAGGGACCCCTCTGCACAAATAGAGCTAATAGTAATTTTCCATTGTGCCAGGATAACCTCAGCAGCAATAGCATATTATCTTCAGTAAATGACCAGAGGACCAGTTTTGCTTCAAATTCTCCCAGCATTATTTCTGCTCTAAGTGTCTGAGAACTGCAAGGTTTCACAGTACAGATAACATGAAAGCAGAGCAGCCAGCATGCTCACATGCTCCTCCATGCCATGGCTCTGCTAGAAAGCAGCAGTGGACACAAGCTAGCATCAAACCCTAGTTCCCCTTCTGGTAAGGCATTGCAGTGAGGCCATCAAACTAACACTGGGTTTCTTGGGCTTATCTGGCTATCATAATACTAATGGCTAAAAGCCACTTGGACAACAATGAAAGTCAGGCATAGCACTAGTGTGTCTCAAGACATGGCAAACAGCTTCAATTTCTGAGTGAGCCACAGCCCCATGGGCTCCCAGGGCTTCTAGCTTAGCCATGTACAGAGAGGCAGCAGTTATTTGAAGTGTTATGTATTTGTGTGTTATTGTTCACACCCTCATCCCGTATCTGCTCTGCCTTCCTCTTCGGTTATTGTGTGCCTCTAACTTCTTGACTTCTCTGATTTGCTTTCTGATGTTATGGTTTTTTTTGTTACTGGGCAACCTATTTCAGTTGAATCTGTTTTCATGAGTGAACTCTTTTGACTTGATGACAACAGTGAAATTCCAAGGAATAATGTATAATCATCATACAATCATCACTTCTTACCAGCACTTACAACACAGTTTTAATAAAACATTCTGCAATACTTAAAATGATTTCTCCTTTTCTTTAAAGCGTGAGAAAAAAAATCCGGTCTTAAAAATTCTTTGAGCCACTTGCTTTGGGTGAGTCCAGATGCATTCAGATTCATCAAAAGAAAGTGTGGACTCAGTTACTGTTGTGCAAAAGCTGAACATAGTAACAGATCTCATTATTACATTCTGAGCTATGGATGTTTTGTAAGGAAACCATTGTGCTACCCCTACTGAAGCAGACCAGTGAAAAAAAATTTCCCATTGTTGTAGGTGAAACAGAATACTTTACCATTTACAACCTCGTTCCCCTTCTAGTACATATTCAGGGCAGTAGCAGATCAAGTTAATTTGGGTTTCTGGGACCCAGGCAAGTTGCAGTAGAAATGCACTAAAATGAAGAGGGACAGAGCTTCCGCTGCATGCCTGGTAACTATACAGACTGAGAACAGCTAAGGGTTCAAAGTGAACCTGATAGCGCTGCCATACCTGGAAGGCCTGGGGGATTTTGATAACAAATGCCATAAGCACACAAAGTTAGTGACTAGTATACAATATAAAAGAAAGTGAACACGACCACCAGTAAGAGGTTAGGAACAGGGTTATTCCTGGAACTGTTCCTGGTGCAAACAAGGAATGGGCTGGCAGAGCTGGCATGGAGGACCAGGTACTTGCTGCTCCTCATGCTGCAAAGGGAATGGTGAGGGAAGGATGTGGCAACAAAATCTGCTATGTCTGCCCCACATCTCCTGGTTGCATCCTGATGGCAGCTTTTAGCCTCCCTCTCTAAGGCTTTGCATAAAGTGAAGTTAGTAGTGGAATCACAGCCACATTTCTGCCCATGGCTACCCTAGCAGAGCCCTGGCAACACATTGCTAAAAAGCAGCTTACTTCAGCTATCCTCTTGAAGCCGCTTGCCCTCACTGCAGAATACTAATAAAACTTTTACACTCTACTTCTATGCTGCTTTCCGGCAGACTATTGCAAATTGCTTTGCCAGACCTCATGAGTTAGTCTCACCTTGCTGCTGTTAGATGAGTAGTAATACTGCAGTATTATTGACAAGCCAGCTGAGGTGCAGAGAGGTTATTTGATGAAAGTCAGAGGTACCTGCCACTATAAGGAAAAAACTCCCAGAGGTTGTAATTACACCGCCTGTGTGTTTTTTCCAACCACATTTCCAGGGCAGTGGAGGAGACAAGGATGCTGGTATTTTGGAATGGATATACTTAAACAATTTTTTTGCCTATTTACCCATCTTCAAATTCTGAAAAAATTGTAGCACTTGCAGAAACAGTCTCTCTCTGCACCCTGCAAAAGAACTACTCAACACCAGGCTTTTGACCTGCAAGAACAAAGAGGTAAATTTAGATACTGTTATAGTCACTAATTCCAATCTCGTGGGACTTCACTGTCCAGGTGCTGAAGGTTGGCACGATTAACCTGACCAACAGTAATGGCATTTCATATTAGATTTACAGTTTCCCTACAAAGCTGCCCATAACTTGTACTAGATCAGTGCCTTGGAAGGTCAAGACATCTATTTTGATAGCTAGATACAGGTGTTGTTTAAATAATTTCCTGGTAGTTGCACACAAACCTACAGACTTACCAGCGAAGGTGCTGAACCGACAATCTGGAGATGTTAGGTTTCTTCTCTATGGGACAGGTGAGCTGTAGGCCAAGTAAACCAACTTCCCTATTCCACACAGTAATACACCTTAACAGCATGCTGACAGGTGAGTTGCAAGGGGCCATATAACTATTAAAATTCTTTGCTCATCAAATCTACCAAAAGAAGCCATCCATTAGCATCAGCAGTTACAAGGACCAGAAACAAAGATCCAGCCTCTTTCTCAGAAAAACATGCTGTTCCAGTGCCTAAAAAGATTATTCCCCTTTACTACCAACTTGTCCTTTCCTGTCTGCTTGCACTGTTAAGTTCAATGCAACCCAGCAGCCCCTTTGTTACCCTAGGTTTTCAAAAGCTACTTGCTTCTTAGGTGTCCCAGATTGTATAAATAGTCATAAGTGTATCTATACAATACACTAAGGAAGATGGGAATTACCACTCACATTTTAAACAACAAGATAGTGAAACTGAGTGGGTTGTACAAGAAGACTGGGGCCAAGGCAGAAAATTTGTTTATATTCATCACTTTTCACATGACTCTCTTAGTCAAACTCCAACCCATTATTCACACCTCGTTGAACAATATTATTACTCAGAGATCATAGTCCCATAGATTTTTACCCTCCACTAACATGGGATTTCCACTCCCATTTGACAGTATATAATCAAGTCCATGACAAAAATGTGCCATTTGAGAAACTGATGGTTCAGTCAATAGGTGTTTCCTAACAGATTTACCTGTTCTTGAAAAGCATTGGCTTGTTCTTCAAATCCAGCTGTTCTGAAATAATTCACAACATCGGTAACAGCCCAGTCAGCAGGATCCGGAGGTCTCCCATTCTCTATGGAACTGCAAAGTACAAATCCAGACAAGTAATCACTAAATGCGTGCAGAGTGTCTGCTACTTCTCTGTGCACACCCCATGTACATTCCCTCCTTCCTTGTTCCTCCAGGAAAAGTAGACTTTGACACACCTCCCCCTGCCCTGGTACAGAACAGCCACTCCTGTTCTCTTCCATTTCAGCGACCTGATGCTGGGGACAGCTGAGGTACCTCTCCATTCAGAAAAGAATAAACTATATGGATCTTCACATCAGCCAAAGGTAATCAGTCAGGATCTTCGCAGTTCGAGAACAAAGACTATCATGACTGAGGTACCAAATACCTGCCTTTCAAGACTTGCTTTCAGCTACCAAGTACTTACAAAGAATTGCAGTATGTGGATGTTATTCTTTTCCCAGATGAGACTGTACTTCCTTGTAACATGGGCAGAAACTACTGGAAACCACCTTTACCTTGCAAAACAAAACAATACGAACCAACCAGAGACACAACGCTTGCACTAATTGCTCAATACTGAAAATTTCCCTAAAGTGTTTTTGGACTCATTTTTAGACAAATCTATGGACTTTTTGTAAACACAGTCAGAATGAATTCCTTCTGTGCTTGACCTTAGGCAACTGCTTTCCACAGTAGCAAAACCAACCAGTCATTCATATTACTATCCTTATTCTGCATTTCTGATGCTTAAACTGCCGTCACCCTAACTCAGATGACCTTTGTGCTTCTGCAAATTCTTGGTAACAAAAACACACAGTCAGCTTGATTGCCTTTCCTACAGCAATTTAGGAGGATGAAGAGCAAGATGTCAAAAGAAAGGTGTTAAAGAAGTTCTTTCTCAACTAGAAGTCGCAAAGCCCATGCCAGATGTTTCTGCAGTGTTCTGCATGCTTAACCATAATGCTAATGTAGACAAATTGAAAACTTATAGACCAGAGCAGATGTCAGAATCCTGTCCATTTCAGGTCCTGAAGCTTAGAGGACTTCAATTTTCAACAGCACCAGCTGGAAAAGAAACACAGATTATACTCTGCTAACAGCATTTTTATGCCGTCCTTCAGATTTTTCTTTTCCAGCTGTCACCACCTCTGTCTTGCCTAGATTTGTGTCTTTCAGCAAAATAACTGAGGGAATCAAGAGCCAACCATTTTTCCAACCAGCCATGAAAAGAAGTGAACAGAATCACATACACTACTCCCATCACTACTTCTACAACATCCCAATTTCTACAACTAGCTCAGCCCTGGGAAGGAGGACTCATGAACACAGTGAACTTTTGGAATGTACCTGTCAACACGTCAACAAAATTCTGGTCCTAGGGACTCACACTGCAACCTCAACATCACACAGAATGCTGCACTTCGCTTTCTAAAAGCAGTTTCTTTCACTTATCACATGGAATATATACAAATCTCAGAGCAATGAGCAAAAGGGCCATTACTTTTGGTCATCAAGTAATGACCGACTTCATGAATTGCTTCACTGACTGTGATTACACAAAAAGGCAATACTCAGCAAAATTGAAAATGAGAGTATGCAACCTTATCAGAACTGCACTTTGTTTTTTTATCAAAGAATGCCTTTCAATTAAGATTTTTGGTGTTGTGCACATTCTGAGGCTTAAGAAGTAAAACATGAAAAGCACCAGAGAAAACCTATACATATTTGTAAAGGCAGCATTTGAAGTATTATATTTAAATCTTTGTATTTTCCCCTAGACTATCACTTTCAATGACTCGTCTTCTACTTAAAATTAAAAATAAACAAACAAAACCCCAACTCCTCGGTATTTAAAAAGTAAAACCAACAACGTAATAAATCCTAAAAGATACTGAATGTAATTCTTCCTGAATAGCAAATAAAATATTCAACCTGTAAAAATACCTCCTAATTGTATTTTGCTTGCTTCCTGAAACACTCCAATTTCCAGCTAAATATGGTCTCAAACTCTCCTTCTCACAATTTCGTATTTCAGCCCACATACGCTAGTTCTTCATGTAGCTCTTCTTTTACCGTTATGGAACTACAGCTTGGTCCAGCTTCATTCCAGGCTCAACTGCAATGACTTCAGGGGCTCTACCTTAGTCATTAACTAATCACAGAAAATAATTGCAAGCTCCTGCCTCAAGGAATAGCATCATACTGGACCTCAACTGGAGCCAATTTCCACAGCTACAGCTGCAGAAAACTCAAAGGCATGTGGCAGACTGTTGGAGACTGGATTTTATTTAACCCACCTACCCACACAGATGCTCATTTGGCTTCTAGACTTTGTCTCCTCCTTGCCCTGCTGTTGCACATGGCTCTATTCTTTAGACAGGAAGAGGGAATATGTAACAGCCATGGCATAGCCATACACCAATTTATGCCAGACATTCTGGATGCTGTATTATCTTAAGGGGACTGGCATTTTAGGCTTTGTAACAAGATACTAGATGCACTGGCAATGAATAAAGATGCGGCTCGACTGCTTTTCACCACTGTCCCTGTGCCTTTATTGCCATCATGTGGCAGAAGCAGCAAGGCTTGCAAGGGTATACTGTGAACAAACAGATTTTAGCCAAGCTATTTATAAGCACTTCAAGAAAGTGCCAAGTACTTCCTTTGTAGATAGATGCACATACAATGTTCATTTAGAAAACACAGCTCCTGATCAGTGTAAATACAAACCCCATCTAAAAAGCCAACTTTACCACCAGTAGTTGAGCCCTTATCACCTAAGCCTTAGGGGGAAATGATTAAATGTAAACTGTCCTTGCCCTGACTGCCTCCTCTCTTCTCCCACCATAGAGTCCTCATTGTAGCAGCAAGACTGCCAACTGAAGGTGGCTTCTGAAGGACACACACACGATACAATTTATTCATAGTCACTGAATAGGAAAATGCATTTATGTTGGTGTGGTCTAAGCAGTGTCTCAAGAGAAGGGGGAGTATGCCAATTTTAATGGCTGCCAGCAGATCTTTTGATGCTGTGTCATAATCAAGTGTTTTACCACCATCTTGAAGTGATGATGGTGATGGTGATTATTACTACTACTACTCTAGTGCCTGGAAGCCAAAGCATTGTCAAGTTTTCTCGGAAGGTTTGTGGAAAAGAGATCTGAAAGAGAAGAATTAAGTGCAGCTTTGCAATAGTGCTGCTGTTTGAGAAGACAAAGAACTCACTCCAGTACCCTTCTTTGGGTTTTTTGGTTTGTTGATGTCTTTTTATTATTTTGTTTTGGTTTGGCTTGGGTTTTGTTTCTCTGTGGGGTTTTTGTGTTTTGGTTGTGTTGTTTTTTGGTTTTTTTTGGGGGGGGGGAGTTGTTTGTTTGTGGGTTTTCTTTAAATATATCCATATATGCATATACCTATCTTACCACAGCTTCTATAACTTTAAAGCAGCAAGGCCAGATTTTTCAACACAGAACTCCACTTCTCAGATCATAACATCCACAATTGAGAACTGCCAGCCCTGATTTAACAATTGCTGACCTCTGAGGATACAGAAATGCCTCCAGAACAGGTCCTATCCCTTAGCCTGCAGTCTACCATGCTAAAGGAAAACTGTAGAGCAGTGCACACCATGTCTATGCTTTATTCTCACCCTAGATCTGAAGTAAAAACCCAGTTTGGGCCTTCTCCAGTGAACAGCTTAAAATACATCTTCCAGAAGAGAACTGACAGTAAAGACACACGCTGCTGCTACTACTTCTCAGCAATGCTGGGCAGTCAGCAGAGAAGGGCGTATGTCTCTCTGAATGAGACAGAGAGTAGACTTCCACACAGGACACACCTCTCCCTTAGGAACTGCCTCTACAAAAGCCACTAGCAGACAGGTGAGCAGACGTAGAATACTGGTTACTGGGCTACCACTTGTTTTAGACTCTGATTGAGAGGAGAAATCAGTGGAGAAAGGTACCCCAACTTAAGTTACTACCTTCTACATCTCTCCATTCCACATATCACGTAGATTCAGTTCCCAAGGCACTTACATTTTGAAGCTGAAATACAACAAAAGTAATTGAGAACAGGCAAGGCTTGAAGCAAGAAAAGATGGAGGTGCCTATCATTGCCAGTCACACTAGGTCAAATTAAAACTACAATCAAAATCCATGTGCTGTTTAAATAAACTGAACACTATGGATTCACTTACTTTTTGACTTCCAGAGAGCCATTTTCCTTGTTTTCCATGTCAACAGTTAGCATGGGGAGGATAGAAGTTTCTTTTACTTCAGCAACTGATCAATAAGGGGAGAAAAAATTGTGTTTAATTATTGGTAGCATGAAAAGAGCAACATAATGTAACAGGAACAAGCATTCTACCAGGACACAACCATGTTTCCACTTGAGAGCACAGGTGCTGTCAAAAGACTGTTTTTCTCAGAAGCCTGTCAAAGCTGGTAATAGCTAATGAACTAGGAAATGCTCACCTGTGCTTCAAACAAGAAATATTTCACACCAGAAAAATCAAGGAAGGTAATGTTACATTTGATCCTTCCTGAAACTGGTAAAAATTTTATCAAACTATATACCCATATGTGTAGAGTGACGTGCAATATATAGCTAGATATCAAGGGAGCTTATTATGCTTTCAGTCATCCTGCTATACAGAGGATCCAAGCAGATGTATGATCTTATCCCTAGTGAGGATAAGATGTGATGTTTTGAAATTCATAGCCTTGTCCTACAAATGGGGTATCCAGGATACAGATCAGCACAAAGTGACTTACACCCATTTCACACATAAGGTGAGTTTAGAATTGAGTGCCAAATTCTTGAGCCCTGAAATCTGTATCTTATCCATAAGACCATCCTTCGTTCACTAGCACAGTGTCTTCTACAGCTACCATACGCTGGACTCTGAAAAGGAAAGGAACATACGAAGGACACAGGAGAAAATCCAGTTTCCCTCCTCGCAGAGTGCTGGAATACTTTCGCTACACAGCTTTTTCTACCACTCCACAGAACATGCAGAAATGACCGAAGCCTTTTCTTTCTGTTCTCAAGTAAGCCATTTCTATTTCAGAAAGCACTGAAGAACTGACCAAGGACTCAGGATGCTCTTGCTGTAGCATTAATGGATGCCAGTGAAATGTTACAGAGCTCTGGGAAGTACAGAATAGGGAAATCATGCTCTTCAACTAAAACTTCGCAAAACCACAAGGTAGCAATTAATATTGCTGTTAAAAAAAAAATAAATTAAAAAAGACCCTTTATTACACAGCTAGCAGCAGGCAAAGTACCAGCAAAACAGTAACAAACTAATCGAAAAGATGCTTCTTCCTGCACCGCTGACCAAATAACGCATTCCCTCGAAACACTTCTTGGTTCACCTGAGGTGCCTGCAAAACGACAACCACGCCAGTCCGCCTGCGGGAGGTCCCTCACCCCGGCCACGAAGGACCCGCGCCCACCCCGGGCTCGGGGCACGGCACCTCCCGCGGAGGGAGCCCGCGGCCACCGGGGGGCTCCCAGGGCTCTCCCCTTTCCCGCGGCGGGAGGAGCCAGCTCCTCCGGGGCTGTGTGGCACGCGTTCACCATTTTACAAGCATCTCTGAGACCGTTCGCCAGGCAGCACTGCACCACATTGTCAATTTTTGGCTTGGGGGGGGGTGGGGTGGGGGAGTGAGGGGTGGGGGGAAGTAAGACAGAAAAACCTACCTACGAGCAACTAAACCAAAGCATTGCTACGGGCTGCTTCGGAGCCCGCGGCTCCCGCCCCCCCGCCGGCAGCGGGGCGCTCTGAGGCGGCTCAGTTTGACACCGGGCAGCAGCCCCGCCTGGCGCCCGGCCCGCCTGACGTGCCCGCCACACACGGCCCGCACCAACCGCCGCCCGCGTCATGGCGCCCGTTTTAAAGGCGCAGCACTGCACCGCCTCCCCAGCTCCCCACGTTCAGCCGGGGGCCCGCGGGGTCCCCCCGCCCGCCGCCCTGCAGCAGCTGCCTTCCTCGCAGGCATCCGGTCCGCGGAGGGCACCCCAGGGAGTCTGATGGAATGGGAGCTGCGACCGACCCCTCCAGGAAGCGGCTTCCCTCCGGCAGCACTTACCTGCGGGGCAGCCGCGGGCAGGGCGGAGGCGGGCTGCTGGCACGGGCGGCTGCAGGGCCGGAGAGGAGCGCTCTGTGCCAGATTCATGACCTGAGTTTCTTGGGACCTCCTTGTAAACATTTCTACTCCTCCTACCGAGTGGGGTGTATGAAGTAATGGTACGAGTGGGGGAAAAGGGAAAAAATCCACAGACGTTCTTTGAAGGGTACAGTACTGAGCCGAAGAAATTTACACAAGGTGAGAAATGGGAACAACCAGAGCTCGGGAAAAAATGATAAAATTACGTAAAATTCGTTTCTAGGACAAGTTCGTCAACTTGGAGGTGGCTATCAGACACTTGGCTTTCTCTGGAACTGGAGCATCAGCAGGGGCCGGGTGACAGGAAAGGGCACCAACGAAGGGCAGCACTGGGGGAAAAAGGGAGATGGAGACAGCGATTCCCAGGGACAGCTGCACCTCGTACTCACATAAACGTTGTACCTTATTTCACAAGGAGACCCACAGATACCCACGGGATTTGCTGTGCAGTGAGATACAACTCAAAGTGTACGCAAACAGTCGACTACGTCTGGTCCACTGGCAATCAAATCTCACCCACAAAGATTCATACAAATGTTGGCACATTCCTCCAACAATTGCACTTTTTTTTTATTACACTATTCTTAAACTTCTTCTCCCAGACTTCCCTTGATTCAGGCTGTTTTCTAATGGCATAGAAGCTTTACATGGATGACACGCTGTCAGCAGTAGGGAAATTAAGAAAGTAATACCAGCCAACCCACCCTGCATTCCCAACGCATGGGCTTTGCAGACCCCCTCCACACCAGGGCTGTGTCCCAACCACAACTCAGAGGCTGTGACCTTCTGACCATCCTTAACAGCCTGGGTTAGTACAAATTTTGGGATGTCTTACTTGCAGAATTTCCCTCCTAGTCAAAAGACTCAAACTACACCCTTGCAGTTCATCAAGAGGCAATAGGACATTACAAGCTACCTGGGGATTCATACAGAATGAGCTGGTGACTTCAGCCGATTTCTGCAGAGCAAGTTACAGCGCTGTGCCACAAGTGCCCCAGCTGGCACCCGCAGACAGAGCAGCAGGGCAGGCATAGGGCTGGCACAGGCACCCTGCATCTGTCTCACTCACAGAAACAGCTGAGTGCATCCTGGCTGCACGCATGGGCAGAGATCTGAGTCAAGTAATCGCTAACCAGACACAGTTACAAGCACTAAAATCACAGGAAAAGCCCATTTTCGTGCAAAGGACAATAGATGTGACTTCCACAACCATTTCATTTTGCCTGACTTACATGCTGCCAAATAAATAACCAAAGTTCGCAAAACTTATGCAAATAATGGGACTCAAGCATTGAGAACAGAGAGCAGGAGGAATCCTCACTGCTTTTGAATTTAAATAAATTCAGATGAACAAGTTAAATAGAGTATTAAACATACTGCACCCTAAAGAAAACCCTCTTTACTTCACATCCCAAAGTGTGCTGTAGAACGTAGCATATCTGTGTTGGACAAGTAAGAATTCTTTTTCGTCTCTCAAGAAATAAGCATTCTAGATGAAGCCATAATGAGTTCTCTGTATCAGCTGGTTTCTAACTTGGTAATGAACTGACATTTGAGGATACAAATATAAACCAGCTATTTTACTCACGCTCTCCCCTTCCTTCCATCATGTTCTTCAATTAATCCTTGGAGTATCTGAAGTGAGGCTCACACAGTGCATGCGTTCTGGCTAAAAGACCTTGAACAGCAGAGAGAGAAAAACAGGCTGTGGAAAAATTCAGTGTGGATATGATCAGTAGTTTGTATTTTCATTCATTGGGGTAAGGTAATTTAATTAAAAGGAGATTACGCCTGAAGGGAGACAAAACAGGAAAGTGAATTAGACTTTTGTTTGACTATTTGCATCCCACTTCTAGCCAAAAAAAAACCAGTTCCAGGACATGTAGGGAACGAAGCAAGACCAGGATTGATTTAGGGGTCAACTCCACGTGTTTCTGAGCTTCTGCTGTTACACGAGGAGAAATGTGCAGAAATCAGTGTAGGTACTGGACACTGATGACCCTGGGGGGTGGGTATTGGAAAACACCAGTTTTCTACTGAAAAATATTATATTTTTTGTCCCTGGAAGTGACAGCAACACATGAAGACAAAATGCATTGCACGTGTAGCTAAGGAGAGCGTAGTACCCTGTTAACTGTGCAACAGGTAAGCAATTTCAGGTCCCCCAGAGCAAAATAAAGCCCTTTAAACCTTTCTTGTTCCAACAGCCTGGGTAAAATCATGGCTAAACACGTTCACGGATCAAGTGGAGGGTGGAAACAACGAAGGGCTTGCGCGGTTTCACGTTGAGGGAAGCGAGGAAAGCTCCTCTTCGTAAACTAGGCTTATGCAGAGCAGAACGGGTTGCATCCGTGTGTAAAACACGTATTTCCCCTGTCAGTGACCCAACGTTCCAACGCCGGGCACACAGACGGCTGTGGGGGACAGGCCGCACCCGCGAGGCCCGCCTTGGGCGCGAGGCGGCAGTAACGGCCGGCGGCCCCGCCAGTGCCCGCGCACCTCGCCGCCAGTCGCCGCCGGCCGCGCGGCCTGCCGGGAGCTGAAGTCCCTGAGGGGCCGCCCGGCTAAGCTGCCCTTCCCCGGCACAGCACCCCCGGTGTGGAGCCTGGGGCGCGGCTGTCACAGCACCAGCTGCTCCGCTGACGCCGACAGCGCTGGAAGGCGGTATGCTTTTCCTCGGGATGCTCAGGGAGATATTTCGGGGCTGGCAGTGATCAGTTGTGGTTCCTGGCTGCCAGATTGGAAGAAAGTAAACCAGAGATAGGCAAAATGCTGAGAGATTTCATCCAAACGTGATTAGTGACCAAAAAATCATCAACCCCTCTTAATGTAACACTGGGGGCAGGGGAAACAAACGTGGCATAGACTGGTTTTAAGTAATTCTTGTCACAGATGTGGAAGTGACGCAGGTTCAAGATGAATGCTTGCTACTCAAACAGAATTAATTTATAGCTATTTCCAGTCTAAAAATCCCTTTTGCATTGTTTCCTTCCTAGCAATACAGGACTAAAAAGGGACCTTCCAGGCTGCAGAGTTTTATCTCCTGCCACCTCACACAAACCGTCACACCACCACATCTGCACGTAGCGCTGGTTTTGAGCCCATAAGAAATCTCATCCCACTCTGCCAAGCAGAAAGTCTGTGTCAACCTCCCCTTTAGTGGTGGTTACGAACCTTCAATTTACAACTTGAAAAATACATGACCAGTTTAGACCTATTTGTTCCTGTAGTAATATTGTTTAATTTAATAATTGACTTCTCAATTTCTGTGGTATTTACTTGCTTATATAGACTCAGCTGTCTGAATGGCCATAGCCCTTTTAGACCCTTTCTGTAATAAGGTCTGCATGTTCTGAGCTTGTTCCCCTTTCCTCTTTGTATACATTTGCCTCCCAGGTGCAGACGGGACTCAGCAATAACTTCTACCTTCCCTGTCTGCTCTGAAGAGCTCCTAGCTCCACACTACACTTACAGAGTCTTTTCCAGAGTCCCTGGCAATTACTGTACACCCAGAAAGAGGCAAAGTCCCTCTTTCTGGGGTTAGTGATCCAGGTTGCACCTTTCCAACACTTTTCTCTCAGAAAACTCTCTTTCCTTAGTTACGGTCTTTTCCACTCCAGTCCATATTCTTTCAAGGTTGCATCTTAACCTTGCTCCACCGTATCAACAGCTTAATACCCACTGTCCTGCTTTCCCTTCCCTGCGTTGGCATTGGACAGAAGAATGAGGGACAGTTCCCAGCAAGGTACTTCAGTTTGCACACAGAGTCCAGCAATGAAGCACCTCTCTTCGATTCCTGCCTTAGCCAGGAAGGTTGTTAAAAAGCTATGCTGTGTCTGACCTGCCAGGGTTTTCTGCAAGGTAGAGCATTGCCATGTTGCTCTGAAGTGCTGCATAAAGCCTGGACAAAAGGCCAAAGATAGCATTGGTGTAAAGCAAGTCTGGAGAGAGGAAAGGCAGAAAACCCTTAGCAAGAGCACAGCAGAGTGACTTTTACCAACCCAGCATTCACTTCTGAGGCAATTAAGTTGAAGTGTGTGTTTAAATACTAGGTCAGAGCACAAGAGCCATTCAGCCTGGACGTGTACTCCACATGGTAACCTGGGTACACCCTCACAGGTTAAAATGGAGGTCCACAGATGCACAGGAAGTTTCGTGAAAGCGCTGTTTCAGGATCAGTGCACGGGTTAACATCTCTGCAGGCGCACAGTGCCGCATCAGCAGCCCAGCTCCCTGCATGCCTGGCGGGGAGGAGCGCTGCTCTGCCTCGCTGACAAGGCAGTAATTAACGGGATGGCAAAGCCCCTGTTCTGTTCTGATGGGGGCTCCATTAAACCTTTGCTTTAGTATGCTGATGTCCTCTTTACACAACAAGCATTATCCACCCCCACCCCTTTTTTTTTTTGGTAATTTCATGAATTTCCAATAGGATGACTAGAGTTGCACCCTCTTCACACCAGGCTGAAAATGAATGTGTTCAGCAGCTGACTGCAATGCAAGTGGCACCTTCCTACTTTTGCTTCCTCTGTTTTCCAAGACTGAATTGCTGAAATAAATCTTCCTGCATGTGAATTATATCCACTTCACTGAGAATTTCCTGCCCTACTTATTTTGTTGTGCTCCTTCTCATCCTGGTAGTAGCTCATATTTAATAAAGCTACTGTCCAGACTTAAACCCTTGTTATTTTAAGGCTTATACTTTATATGAAAAAAACATCATACAAACCACAACTCATTCTGCTCATACTAGCAGTAGTACCCGCCACATATTTGCTTAGCTTCTGATAACGTAGCAAAAAGCTTATGAAAATTATTCACATGAAATACCAACATTGTAAAACAGAATCCAGCCTAATAAAAATGTTTTATATAAATATGGCTCAGACATTTCAGTGAAATAGCTGTTAAATCTATGGAAAATCTAAAAGGCAGTGCTTTGGTTGTATGAAGTGAAGCAAAGGAAAAAGCACAACATGCTGATGCTTGCTAGGTTTTCCCCACTTTGCTGGGAAGCTTTCTTCCCACCTACCTCCCCATCAAGAGGTTTTCTTAGAAGCCAAGACTGCAAATATCCAGGTCCATGTATCCACTCAATAAAGAAAAGAGAGGCAGAGGCTTAGACACAAACCCACCTTGGTATCAGGAGTCCAGCCGAACCAGTCTGTTCCTTCATGGTTTTCTTTTGAATAAATATTCTGGGCATGCACAGAGATCTATGCCACACCTGGATGCGGCAAACTGTTGAAGGGTGTCCACCTTTGCTAACCACAGCCATTTGGGGAATGACGGTATTTCAGAGGTGCACAGGCAGACCATTCAGTGAGTTTCTAGGGCTGTGAGGTTTTTCCACCAGTTACCCAGTAGGCAGGCAGAGTTAGCCAGAGTCAGGCAGTTTTAGCCTGCTTCAGAAACATCCACATTTCTAAAATCTGTAAAGTAACTTCTAAGATTCGTAAAGCACACGTTCTGGTAAATACTGTCATCTTCCTTCAATGTTACAGTTCTGGTAAAACTGCCAGATAGCAGTTGTGGAAGACCAGAATGTGGCATTTCTTCCATGGAGGGTGCTGCTCCTCAGCCCACTGAAAGCACCACAGGCCCAGAGAAGGGTGTTTTCAGCACCTCTCAGTCACTGTGCCAGTGTGGATCTTATAAGCTCTCTATCTGCTTGTAGGCACTGAGAAAGCCAAAAGAAATCACGGCAACCCTGTGCTTTTTATGTAAATATGAAAGATCAAAGGACACGCATGTTGTTTGGCAAGTGGTTGCCAAAACTGCTAGTGACTGCAAGAAAGGACACACTGTTGCAGCAGGGGAAGTGTTCCAGACACATTAGATGGCCCTGTTTCCCCTCTCTGCTCTCTCCTTTGATATAACCAGATGCTCACACATGTCAGGCACGACAGACATTCAAAAGTTGTGCATTAAGGTTGTAACAGTTAAATTCACTTTTTAAGAATTTGATCAGCTCTAAATTGGTTGATGAGGCTCAAGAGAGATCAGAGGTGCTCTCAAGAACACACGGGCTGTAACTTCATCTTCTCTTGACTGCTCTGGTGGTCACATAATTCAAGAAAATGCATTTTGCCTGTAAACATTGTAGCTTCAATTAATAGAGATGTATCCAACTCTAAAAAATTTATATTCTCTCTACTGTAAATACTGTATATTCAATGAACCAGCTTAAAAGCACTTTTCAATTTCTTTTCTATTTTTTTTTTTTTTGTGGCAGTCTTTGGTTAAAAGCAGTGTATTTCTGAACTTTCAACTGCATGTAATACAGAAATGTGACTGTGTGCTACTAAACAGCCCCACCGATTCTTGCCTCTCATGAAAACAGGATTTATCAGTGAGATATTTCAGTTAAATTCTCATACAGCACATGCAACAATATATAATGAAAACAATGCTTTTGTTCAATTTAGTGTCAAAGCCTTGTTTTTGCTGATATGAAAATCAGCAGAAAAATATTGCAGGTATTTAAATACTGCAAGGATTAAAGGCAAAATCTACTAATACATAAAGAACAAATACTCGTTGTTGGTGTTGCATGTATCACCTGACAGATTATGTGACCACTACAGTCAGAATTTCTCATTCCCTACTGCTCTTAAATATTTATCTTCCGCCCCTCTTGTTCTTACCATGCTCTGAAGCTGACATTTCTTTCACACACTGTTCTATGCCATATAAATTCTGCCATCTACTGGCAAAAGAATGCAACGAGAGCTTTTTGTTCTAGAGAAGCTAAGGTGGAATCGTGATTCATCTCGTACAGGTTTTTGTAGTAATCTGGAACACTGAAAACAAAAAAGAAAAATCAAGAAAAGTCAGAGTTGAGTTCTGTTAGTCAATAAGTAGCTGCAGAATTAAGACCAGTTTAATAACTTCAGACATAATACTAAGAATGCTCTAAAGCATAGCTTTGGGTTGTACAAATCCCAAGTAAAATGAAAAATACATATTGAAACTTTAAGGGGCTATTTCCCCCCCAGCAGTCACTGCAGTACTTCTCTTGGCAGGAAATGTACCTTGCAGCCAACCCAGACGTGGTCTGAAATTCCCTTCCAGAATGAATGAGCTATGGGGACTTTCGGAACAGGAGGTGTTTGCCTGATGCGGATGTCCTCCTGAAGCCAAGTCCCTGCATTATGTCCTAAGCTACAGAGCAGGTAACATCTATAGAAGTAGAACCATGCTCCTGACAAACTAACATGCCAACATTAACAAACTCTTATCACTGGATTGTACACATTATATCATGTAACTGATTCTGCCACCAGGATCTTGTTTCTTGTACATTATGTTTTTACTAAGGCTTCGTGCTCAGCTCCTCTCTTAGCTTTTCCCACTGGTAAGCAAGCCTGCCAGATGCATACTTCCTCATATATATGGTAAGAGAATAATGGTAATAATTCCTGGGGACACTTTTTTTTTGGTATTGTTTTAAAAATTCTTGGCATTTATGAAATAACTGAATATCGATCGCTTAACCTCAACACATCTGTGAGTGCATTACACTGTTTTACTCATCCAAGTTGTTACCTATCATTAATGAAGTCCTAATGCCTAGATCCCCACTTTATGCAAACATTAAATAGAAAGATGAAAGAAATTGAAAGGACATCCATTTTGTTGAAATGTTACTTAGAGATCTGTATACACATTCAAGTAACAATGCAGATACACAGTAAAGAACAATACTTCCAGTGGAAGACAGTTGTTGTGATATTGCTCCATAGACTAAAGCATTGATACGCCACTAAACGTAAATGAAAAAGTGTTGGATTGGATTAGGCTGGGTTTTTTTTGCTTTCTTTGTGTTTCGGTTGGTTGGTTGGGTTTTTTTTTTTTTTTTTTTAATATATTGAATCAAATTATCTTGGTGGTGAGGAATTTCAGGAAGTTAATTAAGCCTTTCCAGCACCCCACTTTTCATTGCCCTAATGACTGGTATATTTTCTTGGAATCGACTGGACAGACTTGAATATACCACACTACACACCAGGCTGCCGAGACCTTGCTCCATTTGTGTCAATATACCTAAAGTTGTCCTTTCCAATCTTCTACTGCATCTTGGAAGCAAAGGCAGAGGAATAATCTTATAACCTCTACCTCCCAGGAAAGAAAAACATTTTTTTACTGTGGTTGTGTATGTGTGGGAACAGATCACTGACCTATGTCCTCAAATTCCTTCCAACTAGAACTTTTCATCCTAAAGAGCTTCCGTGCTGCCACCATGCCCACACATTAAGCAAACTATTTTCTCTACCTCAGCCTTGTCAATGACCTCTCACCCTCAGGTAAACTACTTCTCAACACAGCAGAATTTGCAACTAGGTACTAGATCGCTACTGTGTGATCTCTCAAAATCCGGATCTTGTAAGCTGAGCACTAATAAGGAATGTGCCAGTTTGTCTCTGGGTCCTTCTTACACACTTCACTGCACATCAGCTAATGCAAATGAACACCACAAATAAGTTGCTTTTAAAATTTTAAGCAAAGAGCCACATAAACACAATTTTTTGATATACATTTTTGCAAAGACATTTGTATTTGACTCTCTGAGGGAGGGAACAGGACAACCAAATCAAAGATTCTGAAGGAAATTTTACTGGCTTTGAAATAGACTACTGGGAGCTCATGAGCCAGTGACTTCACGGAAGCCTCGAGCTGCCGCTATCCCACTGAGGTAGGAATCTTTCGCAGTAGTAAATTATAAGAATAAATTACATTGCCAATACATGCAAGTTCCTTCAGGCAGGCACCCCTTTTTTTGTAGTACACACCTCCAACCCAACAACGAAAGGTTAAAATGGCACTAGACTTCAGATCTAATTCAAACCTTTATTCATTATCAAATTGCAAAGTTAAGGGAAGCTATCTTGAGATGCCCATCTCATACTTCTAAAAAAATGCAACTATTTACATAGTTCCTATGTAAGATGACAAATATTTACTACCTATATGACATTTAAACATCCTCATGGAGCTCCAACACTTTTACTGCAAGTGATCACTGCCCAACCTGACCTCACTCATTTTATCCCTCCCTCAGAGCCTCAGATCAGTTGACTCCTCTAGCTGTTAAGTAAAAACATTCTTAAAATGTGTGCAAGACCCACACTTGTAAAACTATGGTGGTCATAAAACTTTTTGTCATACACATCCAGATCAGCTACACACACCCCACCTGGAGAATGGAATTGTCTTTCTACCAGTTTCTCATGGAATGGTTCTCAAATTCTTATCTGGGATAGTCCTCCAGACACGCAGCAAAGAAGAACAGCAACAGACTCGAACGACACCCTCAAATCTGCTACTCTACATGCCATGTTTGCATGGGAGCTGTAATAAAAGCAGAAGATAACCTTTTTACAGTTTCTTAGTCCAGCTTTAGAAAAAGTACAAAGGTCTTTAAAATGTAATACAGCATTTGTACCACGAAACCATGAAGAACACAAAACCACAGTCTGTAGTCATACGTATAGCAGCAGAGGCAAAGAGGCCGAAGCTCCGCTCCGAAACCGGGAAGAGGAGGAGCTGCCTTACAGAGAGCAGGTACCAGAGCCTCTCTGAACACCACTTGCAGAAAAAGCCTCAAGACAGACAATGCCAAGACCATGAACAGCCTTTACTTCTATCAGTTGTTTCACAGCACAATGAGACATAGCACAAAGTTTGTACAGCAGGATCTGCAGACAGTTTAAAACCAGGCAATTATCTTTAATAAAAAGCATCCAGTCTGAAGGTGAAAATATGAAGACAAACAATATTGCTGCTAATGATCACCTTGCTTACTTTTGATTGTCTATGATGTCTAATTCACTGAGATCTCACAGTGCCTTTCATATTCTCCGTACCATCTTCTCCAAACCCTCAGTGTAAAGCTGAATGTGTCCCAGCTAATATGAACGGTATGTTTCATAACCTTTTCCTCCAATTTTCAAATTCTGTTTGCAGTGTGTGGGGAGATGCAACGACTCTCATCATACAATATTCTGATTCACAAAGAAGCAGCACAAGTGTTGTACATAATTTAATTTGCACTTCTGTATATAAATGTTTACTATATTGCACACTATTGCAGCACTTAAAAACATCTAATTATTTGCAAAAATTAGTAAAATACTTTAAAGGATTTAAAAATAAGGGTTTTAATGCAACTGACAAGATAATAAAAAAAGCAATTTACTTAATGAGATACAATCCTTTATGTTGGAAATGAAAGTTACATACAACTAGAATACAATTAAAATATACCATATAGTTCAACACTTAATTCCTCAAATGTGTAAAATTAACAAGCTTCTACTGTCATAGATATACAATTTTTCCATATTGTGAAAAGGATTTTTCAAATTAAATACAGGTAACATAATATTCTGTAGTTATATTTTATGACTGTGTTTAAATGAGAGGGTTGTATAATACTCACATTGTCAAATGTACTCACTAATGCCTTGGAAATTGCACACTTCCCCTCCTTTTCCAAAATAGAATCTCATTTCCATACTGAAGTCTATTATGCCATATTGGAAAAGTATTTTACTTTCTAACAGGATTTTCATAAAATTAAAAAAGTAGCATAATATCACGGTGTTAAGATGACTTTTCCACTTATGCCCATGTAGAGTTTAATCTGGATATCAGACAGTTCAGAACCAATCCTAGACTTTTGTCTTATTGTACACGCAAGATGAATGATAACAGTATTTTACAAAACAGAAAAAAAATCTCTGATCCTTACTAGAATTATAAAGGTAATGATTGAAAATTAAAATCATAACAGAATCAAATTGTGATCTCCAACATTTATTAAAATCTTTTAAAGTTCATAAACGACAACAAAGTTACTGTAGAATTTATCGCATACAGCTAGCATACAGCAGCATGTCCTTGGTCTAAATGAAATACAAAAGATTTTAACATTTTCATACAAAGGATTTCTTTAAATTTATTAATGTGACGATATATCTTTGTTACATAAAATTTGCTACAGCAAAGTATCTTATACTTTCCTTGCACATATGTAAATATGGGTGGACAAAGACTGCATTCAGTATCAGCCTCCTAATGACGTTGTGCAAAAATGCTCAACAACCTAAACATACAGAATGTTGATGGTACGTCTCTCATTCTTTTGTAAAATGTCTACAAAGGCTTTTCTTAAAGGAGTGCCATACAGATTAAAAGGAGGGAATGCCAGTGGTGTATTTGCATTGGCATTCAAACAAATACAATGGCTATGTATCAATATAGCTCATTTTCTTTAAAAACAATTCATCCTTGTATGCATGTAAATTGATCATAAAATATGAGTCTAGTTTAAATTGTTTAGATGTGCTGTTTTAAGACAGGTCACTGAGACAGCCAGAATCAAGTGTACAAATAAAACTACTATGAATAAGTTTAAAAGCAACTCCCAAAAAAGTGCTGAGCCACTGATTATTAACATTGAATTAAATGTGTAAAAGTGCCCAAAGCTAGCACATGATAGCGGTATCTTTTAAGTCAGTTGGTGAGAGTATACAAAACAATTAAGCCCAAATACTTATATCTGTGTGACCATACATTCTGTTTGACTGAAAGAAAGTAGATTAGAAATGAAGACACAACGCAACTAAAATAAACCCAGCTGCTGCAGTTTTGAAACTTTATCTCTTTTCTTCGTGAATGAAGTGCTGTAATTAAAAAGAAAATGATTGTAGCAGTACTCCATCCTCAGTTTACTAATATAGTATACCGGAATAAAAACTTGGCAAGAACCTCTTATTCTTAACAGCTAACAAAAAATAACCGTGTTCATCCAGCGATGCATCTAGAACGTTATGTTGCATTTGCGAAACCATTTGTTTTTCATAGCTAATGGCAGAGCGCATTTTGCTTTTTGTGGTGTGGTGGTGGTGATTTTAATGGGTGCCTTTTTTAATCAAAAAAGGCTTGAAACAAGGAATACTTGGGGAGCCCAAACGCTGGCATTAAAAAAAAAACAAACCAAAAAAACAAACCAGAAAGAAAATGTGAATCAAAATGAATCATATTCTCTACAATACTGACCAAAACTTCCTTTAAGAGTTTAGGGTTCATGTTCTTAAAAAAGCCATTTCATACCTGCCAACAGAAATGCTGGTAAGTTGACTTGGTTAAATATGGTCCAAAATCCAGACCAGATATTATTACTCCTTTTCACAAGACTGTAAGCTCTCCATGGTACAGTCTAGTTATGGCAATTTACCTACTGCCTAGGTGGGAAATAGAAACGAAGGAGGCAGTGACGAAAACTGCAGGGATGTAGAAAACCAAGGCACAGGGTCTAGCTACTGTCCCCTACATAAGCCATCCAATTGATTCTACTGAATTTTGGTCAGTCTCCAGGAAGAAACGTTTTTAAGTTAATTTAGCAGACATTTATATGGCGATAAATACTACCTTCAAAAATGCTAAAAATGTTGGCTAGGTTTAGTCTGAGCTACTAAAAATTTTTTATAAATTGTAGCATCAGACACAAGACAGACAAGAATTATTGGCTGGCACAGACTAGAAGCAACATTTATCTTTCACTTCAGTCTAAATCACACTAGCCGCAACACCTTCCATTTCACTCACACAAATAATACATTATTCAAAATAAAATGGAGCATTCTTGGGTAAAAAACTACTTCATTTTAAAGGGGGAAAATGAACAATACACAGAAACAAAGAACGACAGAAACCAAAGTTAAGTAGGAAAGTGGTCTATTATTCTGTGTTACTGCACAAACAGTGCTTGCTTAATTGTGCCTAGTTAGAAGGGTTGGTGCAAACTGCACACATGGAAGATGGCAATAAAGACCTCAGTCAGCTTTGTGGAATGAAGTAACTAGGTAACTGTTTTGACATATGATGGTCTCAGCTCCACCTCATCTGTTAACAGAGTGCAAAGATCCCAATGTGAGCCCTGATGTCATCTTGTCCTCTTACTCCTACTAAAAATCAGCAAATTCTTTTGCACATTTTTCTGTTAGAGACGCACGAATATCTTCTTCTTCATAGTCATCAAAGTTGCTGGTATCTCCAGGACCTCTGCACTTTGGTATGAATGGAGCTTCTACCTGTATTTGGTGAGGAAAAAAAAAAAAAGAAAAAAGAGGCACTTGAAATGTTATTTAACATTGTGATAATGAGCACAACAATATTCCCATTACTCCTCAAATCCTGCCAAGAAATCAGATATTACAGCTTGAATTTGTGGCACAAATAAAGGTGCACGTCTAGCTGTATGAATGTAAGCTGAAAGAGACTAGTACCTCAACTGACCACCATCAAGTAAAAGCTGCTTCCACTTCAAAACAAACCTTAATTCTCTTCTTGCAGAAGGGACCCTGCTCTCCACTGTTCGCCAGCTGCGTGGTGCAGCTCCTAGCACAGCGTGGGCTGCACAGCACTAGCACACAGTTACAGCGGAAGCAGAGTAGGCTGATTACCATCAACACTACCCAAAAATCAGTTTGGAATTCCTCTTCTACTTACATCAAACCTCCATTTCCAGATAAAAACTAGTACAAGTTTAAATCAGTATGTTATCCATCTCCTATAAAGTTCCTCCTGCGACCTAACTGTGAGAAGTGAAAGCCTTCCTGAAACTAGGCCACAAGTGAGAGACAAGCAGGGACATGAAGGGGTCACTAAAGACTGTACAGAACGCCAGTGCAGCTCTAATTAATGACAGAAAAACCCTTCTGGTAAAGACTACTTGCACATCCTCTCAGATCCACATATATACTGGACTGACCATGAGATTCAGTACCTCTCATGTCAGCTGTATGGTAGTGAGCCATTCACACTCAGGCACTGGAACCTGTCATTTTCCAGGACTCTCTTAACTGCTGTTTCTTAAAATGAAGGGAACCTACAGCTTCTTGAAGTTGACCTTACAATAAAATCCTTGGCTATGGATACAACTGAACAGTCTCAAATCTGTCCCTACTTTCAGCCTCATCTTGGAAGTTAAACTGAAATGACAATAAATGAAGATATGGATCTTCACAGACAGGGATCTGCACAGACAGGATCTGTACAGGGACATGCCTCCATTTTTACTGGCTGACCCTACACAGTCAGGGGAAGGGGAAGAAAAGTGGAGAGGTAGAGGGAATAAAAAGGAATTGTTGCCAACTTGCAGACACTGAAATGCTATTTTAGGGATCAGACTACTAAACTCTACCTTCACTTAGCTAATGTTAATTCAAATATTAATCCTTCTAGTCTATCACATGTCATAAAGTTCAAAATTAAGCTAATTACTTTTTAAAGTAAGTGGAATTCTAGAATCAGCTGCATGCTGGAAGAAGAAATATGCAGGGTTCAGGGTTGATGGGAGGCAGTGATGAAAAATGGATGGTAAGGGAGGAACCAGAGAGAGTAGAAGGCTTGGGGGGAAGGAGAGGAGCTCTACTCCAACATGTCTAGGACAAACGGAAGTGTAGGTATGACTATCAATACTGCATTTCTCTTTTTCATTTGACAGGTACTTAATTTATCCACCTTTGCAGTAAGCAAAATTCTAGCAAAATCACTGAGGTGATGTAAATTTAAACCTGGAAATGCAAAGTAATCAGACAAGTATCTCTCTTGGGGACATCCCAAGGAGTATGTGTGCCGGAGGCAACATGGTGGGGAGACAGATAAGCAGAGCAGGCACAGCTCCAGCTAAGGCAGGGGATCAGATCATACTGTGCAACTGTGGAACTGCTCATTGCCCTGGGCAGATTACTGATTACTGATGGGCTGTGTGTGGGTGTGTGTATGTGTGTGTGAAAATCAGTAAATTAAAGAGGTACAGCACATACTAAATACAAACTAAGGTCTGCTAACTTTGGGTGATAACATTATACACCCCCAAGAAATAACACTAACTGTTGGCATTTATAGACTGTGCTAATTGACATGTGTGTACCCTTTTGTTGCTGCAACAATGTGTTTAGGCAATTTATTCTGAGAGAATATATGGTTTGTGTACACACCTAGCCTACAAAGCCATACAGTTACCATCATCTGAATTCTGTCTTCTGAAACTGATTTTCAAAAACTCTCTTACAACAAAGCTCAGAACACAAGAAGAATTTTAAAACATGTTCAAATCAGATGGCTCAGACTTTTCCCTATTATCTTCACTAAGGAAATTGCTAAAAGGACACTTCAGGAGATAACACTTGTTTATAGCAGAATACGCCTTTTGCCCTAAGTACAATCATGTTATCAGGCAGCATTTTAATAAACAGCTATGCAAACAAAGAAGATGAGACTTGATCTTATCTGAAATATTAAGTAATTAACTGGTTCACTTACAACTGTAGCCTAACAAATTATTCCTGTTACATTAGCTGCCAAGGAGATTCAGGAAAATACATACCGTGGAAGCAGCTGCTGTGAAAAGCTGGTATAAACCTTGAATTTATTGCTATATTTCTAAGACTGCTTAAATGATACTATGATCCATGCTGCTGTTTTAGCCCCTTAGTATTACAGTATTTATTCCTTATCATGAGAAGCTCCCAACTTATTCAGCATCACTTTTCACAATCCTTTAAAACTAATAATAGCTATTCTGGCTATATTACTTGCTCATATTTTAGAATACTTCTTGTTTCTGTGAAAATAAATCTCCACACCAGTGCACTAGCAATGCTAAGAACATTCAGCACAGTATTAAAACATCTGACTTAATATTTATTATGGGGCCTTAGTGTCCCCAGACAGCATACTGGCAAATGAAACTCAGTGCACGTAAATCTGCCTTGTAAACAGGCATTAAGAAAGCAAAGATAATTACAATTCTACAATGAGGAATCTTTTCTTAAAAATATCTATACTTAATACAAATAATAGAGGATGTGTTAATTGTACCCTGTCTTCTAGTAATTAATACATTAGTGAATAATACAACAACTGTACTGTCAGTTTGTGTAGCCAAAAAAACAGTTTCTTTTTATAAACTATTGTTAGTTTTTAGGCTTGACCTTTAAAATATTGCTGTTACAGCAGCAAGTTCGTGCCTCTATAGTCAAGACTCTTAGTGTTTCAAACTCAAACCAATTATTTCAAATACTATCACTTACCTCTAACCTTGTTGCCAATATCTAGATAATTATGTATTGTATATATTATATATATGTTATACATATGTATACATATTACATATGTATGTATAATACCAGTATCTACAAAATTATTTCTCCACTTCTGCGACACCACCATTGAAGTTATTTTAGTCATCTATTGGTTGCCCATTGAAAAAAAATAAAGATAATTCAGAGGTTGCATTTAAAAGAACAATTAAGTTCTTAGGAATCTGTTTCCACACTAATTTAGATATTTAAGTTTAATTCTACCCTCAAGGGGAGAAGGAGCTTTGGAGCTACTGAAGAGAGACCTCGACCAAATTGTCATCATCCTCATCCTTTTCTCCAGCTTCCTCTCCTAGCTCTGCTTCATTCATCCTGGAAGCTACTGATGTGCTCCCCTCTAACTGATACATCAACGGCTGCTCGTACTCTGAAAATATTCCCAGTTGTCTCTGTTGCTTTCATCCTTATGCAGGCCTAAAGTTTACAGTATGGACTGGGCAGGGACTTTCTAAAAAACACATTACAAAACATGTTGGCCAGGCAGGTCTAGAAAGCCACTCTAAACATGCCAGAAAAAAATCAATCAGCACAGCTCCTGCCATTGCTGCAGCTTATGGAACTGCAGTCAATTAAAGCGTAGTGTCAGAAGACAAAAACTCCTCAGCAGATACTGAGGACTGAGCATAGACATTCTCTGCATGATCCAGTCCCAGTTACAGATAAAGCAAGAGCAAGAAGGAGGCGGCATGCTTCTTTAGCAGAAAAAGAAAAGCTCTAACTTTGGCTAGAGCTTCTCCGCACTGAAGCACAGCCTGACTGCTAAGAACTAGCTGGAAAGGAAAACAGATTCCTCTCTGCTGTGGAGGAGTATTTATAGATGCCACTATAGCAGGGGTTAAATAAGAAGCGAGAGAGGCAGAAGATGGCTCATTCTGAGATATTCCAGAAATAGACTAAAGCACAACAAGTGTTAAGAGAACATGAATGTATACAGAGGTCTAGGCTAAAATACCAACGAGAAACAAACATAATTCAATTGATATATATTCTACAGAGTCTTAAAGATTAAACTACTGTCACCCTCTCTCACTTTAACTACAAGTAACAGATTTAGAAAAGCAAAAAATAACCAGAAATTTAACTCCTTAAAGATTTGTAATAGTTGTGATCTGAATAGTTCTGAAGGATCTTACCTTTCTCTGATAAATGGCAATCCAATCTGTAGTTGCAAACCACTTGTGATTCTTTATGTCATTTACACCATTCTTGAGATTTCCATATCGTTTGGTCAAATCTACCTGGAGTAAATTTCTTAGAAGATCCTTTAGGTCTGAACTGAAGTGTGATGGGAACCTTACCTAAAATTATACATCCACAACATTAAAAAACAATACAGAAGTTTGATTCTTCCCCCTGTGAAGTAAACCAGCATTCACACAAAAGGAAACATTGGGCCATTTCCTATTCTTCCTCTAAAAAACAAATCAAGTAGCAATGCATGAAAAGAGCAATTACTGCTGTTGCACATGTACTTCTGTTTTACAGAGCCTTTACCAATAGTGTTACCTTGTCCATCCACCATTTTCTGAACTGAAAGTTTCTAGATCTGAGTGAGTTGGGGAAAAATATTAATTCAATGTAATAGTAATATAAAAGCTAAATTAAACTTGGTGCCTCACCAACACATCATCTCAAGGCATTTTAAATTATCTTCCAGCAATAAATTTTTAGATTATAGTGTGTATATACATACACACACACATAGGAGATACAGTATATAATAGTATATATATATATATATATACAGTATATACATATGCTCTGAAATATCATTCAGCAATCATACATGAAAATTCAATCTGGAACTTTATGCTGTACTGTAATCTGTGTCTGATAACTGAACACACCAACACCAAAGATCTTGGATAAATAATACAGCACGATTTGAAGTCACTTGACAATACAATTCATTCAAACCTGGCTAAGAAATATTTGAAGATGATTCATGGAATGTAATTACACAGAGTTTTACTAGCAAAAGATCTGCTGATACCATTTGAGATGGCAGAGAGAAGAAAGGGGAAAAGAACAGGCAGAAAGATGTATTTGTCATGCCTGTAGTCTCAGCGTTTGACACTCCCTATATCCAGCTGATCAGTTATGACGTAAATGCAGAACATGGAATTATTTAACATAGAAATGTACTGCGAAACCAAGAGACCTGATAATCAAGATCACTGCTTCAGTTTATCTGTCAAGATATTCTACTCTAGTACAGGAAAAATCCACAGATTTTAAGGAATATAATACTTAGACAGCTGAGCAGTAAGGAAATATTAACTAAATTTTTTAAGTAGAGAATCAGGTGCATAAGAAAGATTAAATAAGACTTAAGGTTATAAAGGAAACATACTGCTAGCTGAGAACTGAATTTTAGAGTTTCCAGAGTTCACATCCAGTGCTGTTTCTGCAACCATCCATGGACTCAGTAAAAAAAGTAGATAATCAACAGTACATGTTGAGGAAATTAGATACGACTGAAAAAAAAGCCCAAGTTTTTCTGACTTTGGAGGATAAACATTTCTTTAAAAATGTATCTTAGTAAGTTAATTCCCATTTATTCACAGAGACAGCTGAGGGGTCACAGCATTACAGCAACCACCTTCTTGATTTAAATATGGTCCTAGACAGGGCCTATTGAGGCTCCTTCCCTTGATCAGAATTACAGCAGTACGTAAGATGCGGCACAGCATGTGTTTATGTAGGGACAAGGAAGGTAACAAATCAAGTGAGCACAAAGAAACATGAAGAGACAACGCTGGCTGGTAGGAGAAACAACAGAGAGAGCTATTCATGAAAAAGTAAAACGGAAAAGTTCAAAACATTTCTTAAAAAAATTATGTAACAATGAAAGCTGAACAGACCATTTGACATGTCCTGAACTACAGGACTGCAGAAGTAAAGAAACCTACTATGGATTATGGAAACTCTTTAGAGCTTCTTAAAAATATTTCTAGAAAAGAAAATAGCAAGGCAAATAAAGCATGAAGCTAAATAATTTTTAATAGATCATTTTTATCCAAGCATAAAAGGATATAATGCCATAATGTCTGTAAATTTAATAACTTGCATTTGAAAGCAGGGAACAGATTTTTAGAACTTTGATTTTTAATGTTACTGTAATAAGGTCCTTACCTAAGAAGCATGCATTACAAACTTCTTCCATGTTCTTTCCAAATTGCTCACACTCTAGCAGCCATTAAATTCTGCATCTACTCCTCACAAAACTACCCTTGCAAAAATACACAAAGCCTTCACTCACCTTGCCAGACACAATCTTCTCATAAATTTGAATGGGCTGATCTGCAAAGAATGGGGGATATCCAGCTGCCATTTCATAGATTAGCACTCCTAATGCCCACCAATCCACTGCCTTGTTGTAACCCTGGATAAAAGGAGAAATACTGCTGTTAGCACCACTTCTAACACAGTTAAAAGGTTTTCAGTATCTATCCATGGAATGGAAAGAAAGCAAATGCATTATTGCTTTCTTAATACGCAACTTACAAACTAGTTCAAACCAAACCAGAGCTCGTAGATTCCAACAGCAATATACTTAAAATATACTTAAAAAAATGCAGTGATGACAGTGAAACAGTGATGAAAGTGAAACATTTTGCACATATTCCTGTGCTGAGTTTCAGTGATGTCTTTACACTGATGTGACAAGACTCCCTAAGCGACAGAAGTGGCCACAATTTACTTTCTTTTTTTAAAAATCAAAATAATCTTGTTAAAGAATGATTGAAACATCTTTCAAAGCTTAGGAAAATTTCATTAAATACAACAATACTTCCTATACTGTATAACTTTTTGCTTGATTATCTACATTTCAGAACATTTGTTTTCATATTTATTCAACTAGCTACAAGGCCTTAAGTTTAGCTGTTATAGACTCATTTATAATAAAAAACTCCACCAACCTCATGAATTTTATGTGTTCTCTGAGATCTTTTACAAAGCTCAGGGCTAAGACTTGGGCTTTTCTCAAAAATCTACTAAGGAGAATTCGTAGTACATATACTGCAATTTATTCTGCTGCTTTAGCTACATAGGGGCAAAAAAGCTGCAAATGCCAAACATTTTCTCCCCCAAAAAAGTACATTTTGTTTACTTTTGGACCTGCAAAGGGTATTTAAACTGTATATTAAATGCACAATTTAACATTATGCATTATGATTGTATCATATACAGTTCATAGAACAGCTTTTTACCTTTATAAAACATGAAGGGGCTACAGTTGAGCACCTATATGATAAATAAGATTTCTTTTATTTTAACACTCAGTGCAAGTAAAGAGACAAACTCCTCAATGGTAAGGTTGGACTGCATGTACTTGATGTGTAAAAGCAGTGGTTTGTTATGTTTGACTTCATGTAAAGTGCCTTAAAACCTGAAACACTCTGTAACTAATTATTTAATAACTAGTGACTCACCCAATGTGGTTTTTGTTAACCCTGGAGCTCCTGTTCTAGTCTGTTAACACTTCAGAACGTAATCATTCACATCTGGTTTCTGACAAGGATGCTAGTTAAATCACCTCATTAGAGACTCCTTAAATCCCTTTTTACCTCACAAGTTACATGGCAAGCATATGTAGAAAGCTGTGTACAGTTATGTGAAAATCTCCAATGTGGAGTACATTTTAGCATACTCAAAAACACTTAGAAAGCAACAATTTCATTTTGTGTAATTATCATCAAGATTTGACTAGTCAAGATTTGATTTTTGGAAGTATCAGCAATTGGTTATGCCTCAGAGTGTAATAATTGGGTGATAAGTTCTAACTGCGTCAAGTACATGGCCAAATAACAAGACAAAGTACCTTGCTGAGAATTATTTCAGGTGCCAGGTATTCTGGAGTCCCACATAACGTCCAAGTTCTTCCTTTTACTCTTTTTGCAAAGCCAAAGTCCGTGACCTGTCAGCAGAAGAAATAAATTGTAAGTGCATTTCTACAAAGAAATTTAAAATCAAGTACTTCTGAAGCATTTTGGAAAGCCATTTTATACAGAGGAAGTATCTGCTTCTCTAATCACATAGTATCATATAGTCAGATGTACGTGTATTAGCTAGTCCTTCTCATACTTCTAATTCAGACAGTGAAAAGGTTTCTCATGGTAAAATTAATAAATAACAAAATATATCTTCCCCTTGACAAAACCTTCTATTTATAATTTAAAAAAAAAATCAGTGGGAACTTCAGCTCACTAATCTCCCACATGTACTGCAATTACATTAATTTTCTTACACTTTTCAATCAGACTGTTTATACTGCTGGAAGTTTAAAGAACATGAATATGAACAAGTATTTATATTTTCCTTTAGTTAACAAATACATGAATCACAAAAAGGGTCACAATATCTGCCACTCATGTCAATTTAGAATTTTATTGCATAAGTGTATAAAGGTTACATGTAAAATTAGTGTGGGAATAAGAGAACATGAAAGAGGTCTTTCCATAACTTCTGATTTTGAGTATCTTTGAAAGCATCACCAGAGTCAAGCTTATTTATTTGAGGACTAGGGCAGGGAAAATGTAGCAGTAATTGTATTCACAAATGGCAAGTTCTTGGCCATTACAAAACTCCTCATTCTACTTGTCATGTTTTCTGCAGTAAGTTCCAGAACTTTGTATGTGATGATAGCTGTGTGATCTTTGCTGGGCTGTACTGCAGAATACACATGGAAGCCAGGGAATTACATGTGAAACTCAGTTTCAAGCCATTAAGTCTGGAGACCTGTTTCTTTTGTTTCCTCCTTTGTATCTTTTTCAACCTCTTCCTGAGAAAACATACTATACCACAATGATAATAACTGCTTATCATACAACATCCTATGCTGATGTTTCTGATGCACTGCTCTCACAATTGAACAATCCAAACTCCAAAACTATTGAGGCAGCTTTTTTTGCTTTGTTTTTGATAAAACCAGCAGCCACAGCTGGAACTGAACAGAGAGGATGATGTACTGACTAGACAGACCTGCTTCAGTCAGCAGAGAATCATTTCTGTGTTTGTGAATGCACAGTCTACATAAGAAAAATACACTGCAGACATGAGACAAACAGTAATGGCTTTAAAATTAAAACCAAAAATTAATGCAGTTTCTAAACAAAATTTAGTTGGAACTGCAGTATCAATGCATGAACCCACCCCCCTCTCTATTCGGAAGCAGAAGTGAATCAATTTCACAAAGGAAGAGCGACTGCTGGACCCATTATCTTTTGCAGTATGCCCACCGTCACAAAACCATATTGTTGCACATACAGAATCACCAATTCTGAAGCCATTCACAGCTTTACACTAATGGTGCTCCCCAACCACATTAACAGAACTTGTACTTCTCCCTACAGTGTTATTTTATTCTCCATGCAAGACTATTTTACAGTTATAAACAACGTAAGATATATACCCTTTCTACTTCTCTCAAACATTTTTATTATGTTTTTTTCCTGTTAGATTCTGCTATAGTAAAAGCTGACACAATGAGGAAAGACCTGATCCTATCATTTAAGGACTGCAAAGCACTGCAGAGTGCCACCTTTTGGTATACAGCTGTATCCCATTCGCCAGTTATAAAAAAGATAAGAGCTGAAAGAAAGGTAAGGGGGTGCCATAAGAGGCTGTTGTAAAACCAAAGCCACCATTTGCAGCACTGCAATTCTGATCTGGTCTCAGCTAAGCTCTTATTCCAGATGTGCCGCAAGACTCTCCAAGGGTGGGATTCACCTGAATGAAATGAAGTACTATAGTGTTGGTGTTGACATCTAAGCTGGTCATCCTAAGCCATCTATACAGACAATGCAGAGAACCAGACATTTTAGGGCACTGTTTGTCTTGTTCTAGGGCAGACATCTAAAATAGTTCAGATGAACAGAGCCATGTAATCACCTACTTCACACCACAAACCCCAAGGGAAACCTTGACAACTCACTCAACCACAGACAACTCCATTGTGCATACTTAATTTTAGTCAGAGGAGGTAAATTCCAGTGGTTTTAACCGTTACTAACCAGTAGGGCATTTTAATGCTCCCTAAATACATGCCAACACGCCAACCAGCTTCAAGACTATTTATTCTAAATACATTTTCTAAAATCACCTAACCCTACTGTAAGACACAACTTGACTATCTAAATATATGAAGAACATCATACCTGGATGTATCCTTGCTGATCAATTAAAAGATTTTCAGGCTTTAGATCTCTGTAGATGAGGTCTAATGAATGGAGGTACTCAAATGTTAGCACTATCTGAGCTGCATAAAACCGTGCATGTGGTTCACTGTGAAGAATTAAAAGATCATTAAATACCCCAATGCTATGCTAAGATACTGAAACAACCATGTAACTGCCAGGGATTGACAAATTAAGTATCTTGTAACAGATTCTTTTACTGTGTAACAACAAAAAAAAATTAAAAAAAAAAAAAATCAGCAAAAGGCAAACATTTTAGAATTGACACAATCACTTCCTGTATTTAAGTTCTGCAGGTGAAAAACACATGCAAATCAGCATGAACGTATCCCAAAATACAGAGCTTAGACTTTAAGTTTTACTTTTAGAAACTAACACCAATTTCAGTGAACATAGGAACTCCAAGATTTTATCATGCATAAATCACAAATGCCTGCATTAACTAACTGAAAAATAACAAATAATTATGAGGTCTTCTTTGCCTGACTAGCTTCAGCACTGAAAGAGGAGTAACTTTAATGCATTTAACCCTCCAGAATTTTTCCTTCAATACTAACAAATTTTATAAAACCCTCTTCTCAATTTAGCAACATAAGCCTTTTTAAAGGAATAACATCATTAAGACTCTCACCTGAACCTTCCGATTCTTCTTAGATGTGAAAACATTTCACCACCAGGAACATACTCCATTACCATGTATAAATTAGAATTGTCCTAAGGAAGCAAGTAAACACACACAAATACATATTAGGCATGTTACAGTCTCTATAATTCCTACATACAGTATATTTTATTAAAGAATGTAAACTGAATGTAGCCATCAAATGACCTTAAATATGAAGTGAGACAGGTAGAAATTCTTTGAAATTTGCAGATACATGACAAAAGGAATGTCATGTATGTCAACAAATCTATTTTAAAGTAAATCTGAATAATCAGTGAGTTCCTAACACAGAAAGATGTGTAAGTGATGAGAAGGAAGAGAGGATAAGATGCCTACTGCAAGACAAGACCATGCACTCTTATAAGTTCAGAACTTATAGACAGAGGTATTCTTGTCTCCCACAGCCCCTGCCCCAAGCTTCGAAACTGTAAGGACTGAGGTAGAACATCTTTGCTCATTTTAACTGGTATTAACAAAGAAGAAAGAAGGAAAAAAAAAAAAAAAGAGGAAGGAATTTTAGAGGACACATGCAATTCTCTAAATTAGGAAAATACTCTATTTCTTTACAGACAGACTAACACATAACTGCCATGAAATTAGAAGCTATCAAATGCTCCTTCCGTCATGGTTAAGATTATCACTAAGACCTGCTCAGATATAAATCTCAACTAAAAAGCCTGCAGAACAATTACAAATTTACCATTCAATATATTGGTATAGAAATACATCCTTTGTGTTTTTTCAAAGACAGAATGACGACTACAAGCTCTCTGCTGCACAAGAGCCAGTTTCCCTCAGAAAGGGAAATCTCTAGGAGTTTAATTTTTATTTATTTGGATATATGCTTTCAGTCATCACCTGATGACCCGGGGTGTGTGCAAGTGTACATACAAGTGCAGGAACTAAAGCTCAAGACCTGGCAACAGTGCCATGTGAAACATCTCTGGAAACTTTCAACTATTGTACTATAGAAGCTAAATGGTTTAACATGTTCGAGCACACACATCACTGAAACCCAAATACCTACTTTCAAAATAATGATTACCTTAAAAGAATACTCCAGTTTTACAAGGAAAGGAAAGTTCACCGCTTGCAATATTCTCTTCTCATTCAGTGTGTGTTCTATTTGCTTCAGTTTGACGACCTAGGAGAGGAAAAACAGTCTTCAGTTTAAGTACATTTTACGGTTGTTGATAGATTTTTCAGTGTAAAACAATTAGTTGAAAACAAGCTTGTAACTTTACAGATAATAAAAAAACCTTATAGATTACTAGTACAACAGGAGTGCTAAGGAAGGATTAAAATGTCCAACAACTTTAAAGAGTAATATTGATGCAGTATGGTTCACAGATAACTCCTGAAATAGTGTTTCTTACTACTTGCTAAGAATAGGAATCAGTAAGGAAAACACCTCTCTGTTTTCTTAAGAATTGCTTGCATTTGTAATGGAGACACTTCTGCAGCTGGATGACAGTTCAATAAAATCCATTTGGTCCCTGGACCCTTTGCTAAGAAAGGCAGGAAACTGTGTCAGCCACATTCAATTACGAATTTTGTTATCTGTGACTTATTTGATATAGCTCACACAGTAGTGAGAAGACGACTAAGGAGAATACAAATTCAAAACTGCCATTCTTATAAAGAACTGTTACTTCTGCCAGACCTTTCAGTGTGCTTTGCTTTCCTGCTTAGCAGAAGTATTAAAAACCTAAATGCTACCTTCTTGGAACCCATTGTAATGCCAAGATGCTAACAAGGCAGCAAACGGCAAATTTCTGATCACTGCTTTTTCTCAGTAATTAACAACTGATGTACTTGTATTAAACCCCAACATTGTAAAATCGATTTCTTTCCATTTTACTTAATCCCTATTGCACAATATAGAATTTGAGAATGGCATGATTTCCAAGTAAAGTTACTTCCCCCCTCCCCCAAAGAAACAAGGAGAAAATATACAAGAGTGATCAAAAGAAGTCTGGTTTTACACGTTTGGAAATCAAATCTAACAGCTACAAAAACAGATAAGCAAGATATTCCAACCTTGACCAACACTGTGTTTAAATTTAATTTTTAGATTCAAAAGGCAGAACCTAGAAGGCCCACTACTGTTTTGAAATAATGTCATACAAAAGAAGTACAGAGTTAAAAATATTAGATCTCTTTTGAATCACAGATCTTTAGGGACCAAATAAAAATTTTGCTCAAATCGGCTCATTTGTGTGGGAAGCGTCTGCTTCATCCCTAAAAAAGCTATGGTTCTGGAATTACCTTGGTGATGGAAGCAAGCAAGCTAAAGTTTTAATTTGATATTGTGAAGCATACAGCTGCAATGCTAGACAAGACTTTTCCACCCTTCCTCCATCTTCTGCTTGTTAGATACTGGAGGGCAACGGCAGCAGCACCACAGGCTGAAGCTGCTGTTTAACACTTCGTAACATCAAACTGTAACCTCAGATAACATGCCTTTGCTCACATTTAAGCTCAGGCTCAGGGCATGTCTAATGACAGCTTCCTGTATATCAAATGGTATCTTGGCAGATTCTCCAGCAGCCTGCTCGTGTCTAAGATTTTGTTAACAATATTTTCTTTTCAAAAAAACAATTATTAATGAAACTAGCCAAGCAATAGTATGTTACAGCCTTCCTAAATTAAACCAGACAAACAAAAGACTAACAACCTTACATGTAAGACTTCTGGCTACATCAACTTCTACTACATATCATGATGAACCAAGCATAAGACTGGATAACAAAGGGACACACAACATGCCTTCTCTTTTTTCCAAGTAAAATGTAAATGAAAAATCACAGGCAGCCTGCAAGCTAATTTTAGACACCTGTATGTCTTCTAGAATATAGAAAGTGACAGAAACAGGTTCTCCCTAAACCACCTTCTACTTTTGTGATTCATTAATAGAAGTTACCGACATAACACTAATATATGTCTAATAGAATACACACATAAAATTATGTATGCTGAGTTGAAACAGTGTGTATTTCATAAAGGACTCGTCCATGTCACTGCCATAATTCCATTATCTAAAACTGCTCAGGAAGGTAATAATGCCTAAGTGCAAGAGTCCACATTGAGATAATGCTGACTTTGTTTTATCAGTTGCTGATTATTAAGTTCTCTTTGCCAGATTAATATTTTCTTAATATGATTTTTGTTGTACAGTACCAAAGTTATTTACAGGGCCTTACAAAGTAAGAAAAGCTCTTCTATTGAAGACCTAAGAATCTACTAATCTAAATAACGTACTTCTGAAAGGCTTGTCAGAATGGTTAAAAACACATCTTAGCATTCTAGAATTCTGTTTTATTTAAAATTTAAACTTTATCAAATGATGCCACTTACTTAATCTAACAGTAATAAGTAATCTAACAGTAATAAACTGTTAAATCAGGCTGGAGTAAGAATACAGATTCAGAATAGAGCATTTAAGTTTTCAACATAGAAAATGTCTACTGTCACAGCTGTTCTGAGAGGTTACTGTTCTATCTATGCAGTTACTAGAGGTGCAACAGGATTATTGCATAATTATGCTTACAAAAGTTAATACCTCATGGGTTCAAGAATGGAAAAGAAATTATTTTTTAAATTATGGTTTACAACTGAAAATTTTGTTAATTTCTGACCCAAAGAATCTTTCAGAATTTTGAGCTACACTGTGAAGGTGTGTGTATTTATTTATTTATTTAGCTTCAACACTACATTTTGGTATAGGCCACCTCACAAGCTAAGGAAAGAATTTAACTGACAATATTTTACTAATGCCTTGGACAGTACTTAGAGCCTCTTTAGCCTGCCAATAGAGTTACTGGCAGTTGTAAGAATCTGACACAGCCTCAACAGCTGAATCTGCAGGTTCAAAAGAGAAAGCCAAGCTTTTCATGTATCACCAGTACCCAAATGTGATAAGCAAAAGCACAGTTGTGCAACACAGTTTAGCCACAGTTACCAGATCTTGATCTACATAAAACTCTTTTGTACCACAAAATGCACTAGAAGTTACACCAACCTTCTGTTTGTCCAGTATCTTCATAGCATAATACTGTTCTGTGGCTTTATGTTTCACCATCATTACTCTCCCGAATGATCCTGTTCCAAGGGTTTTTTGCCTCTCAAAATCATCTAGGCCAGCAGTATTCTACATGTACAAGGATATAATGACATTATTTAATACCCAAAGACAATTTTATCTGTATGAACTGAATTATTTATGAAAAATAATGAGTAAAATTACATTTACCAAAGACAACAATAGCCAACTATACTGTTGTTACAATTTCATGCCTGTCAAGTTTTAATAAGAGATTTTACATTGCACTCATTAAACCAAAAAAAGACTTAACTGAATTGTATCAACGTTTCTGTAATTTGTCCATACAGATGACACATGCTTAGTAAGAAATGCAATAAACAGATCACAAATTTAACATGCAGATAAATAACCCCCTCAGACTTCACAAACAAGAATTTTGGAACATTCAAAATACCCCAAGCTCTAGAGACACTCCTACATTAGGGCTGTCTGGAGAGCGTATCACTGAATAAGTTTTCAAAGACATTCGGTACCACAGCATTCCAAATGCTGCTTTAAAAACAATGACCCTTTCCCCAAAACCCAAACCAAGTTCAACTTTTCAGAGACGTCTCTCTAACAAGCTCCTTAACCTGCCCCAAGCCCTATGCAGTAGACTTAATGACCTCAATTCCCCTTAATATCATAGAGGAAATTATTAACAGGGTAGATGACAGATGTGCCAATGCTTATTGTTATAAAAAGCCAGTTAAACCATGCCAGTAGAATATGAGTCTTGTCATGCTGATGGTGAACATCATTCTCCGTAAGAGAAAGCTGTTGTTCAATATGAGCATTTCATCGACTCAAACCTGGAGAAGGCCCAAGAGTCTTTACTGATGAACTTCAATAACAAAACTGACATAAAAATTGGAAACTCCTTTAAAAATTGCATTAAAAAATATTTCTGTTTTCTGCACCACTCATTACAGGCTGATAACACATCACATTATACAAAAATGCAAGAGAAAATTACTGAATGCTTAAATGATGGATACCTGAGGGGGGCTTTCCCATTTTCTTAAAAAGTCTTCTTTGGCTTTGGCTAGGAACTCTTTCACTGAAAGCAGACCAAAAAAGTACAATTTAGTTAGTGTACTTTGTCATGAATGCAATGGAGATGCTTTGTTAGCAAAATAGGCAAACTTCATTATCAACTTATTTCTTCAGCTTGTAATAAAGTTATTTTCTCCATGTATGAAAGCAAGCACCAATGCCTCTAGAGCTTTTACAGTATCTCCAGGTGGTCTCTAAGCTTTCTGGAGTAACTACGTCATTCTACAGAAATTCTACACCGGCTCTATTATCTCACAATACTGTATACGCAAGCAGGCTTTAAGGTGATGCAAAATGTTCTTAATTTGGCTGGGAAAAAAACCACAAACACCTGACATTTATAACAGCCATTCCACAGACTTTTAATCAATTTTTGTTAAATAAAAGTTACATTTTCTTTCAGCTGCTTAAGCGTAATGCCAATCTCATAGCTTTTTCCCCTCATCACCTTCATTTAAAGGCTGTTTGCAAGCTCAACAAATGGACAGCATTACTGCAAGCAAAGACAAAGCACAGGCCTACACTGACACTGCACATTAGGCATGCCCACAGTCAGAGAATAAGAGTTTTTAATATAGATTTTCCATTGAAATTGAAGGAATGTGTAAAATTCCGGATGGCTATTTAAAATGTGCACCAACATATTTTGTTTAGATCATCTTTCAGCTGTTCTGTTTTTTTTTAATATCAATTCTCAGGCAGATCAAGGCAGATTACTTAATGCACCATCATAAATAGGAGGTGTCTTAGACATTGCTGAGGTTCTGAAAGAGTCACAGAATCAAGAAGAAAACATCCTACTGTTTTTGTGTTCTCTGAATTATTTCACATAATAGAGCATTAATAACAGTGGATTTTCTGCACTGTGATGCTCTGCCACAAGCAACTTCTAAAAATACTGAGCAGTGTGCCAAGATTTTTTGGTTAATATCTAGAAATATATGTTTTAGCAACTGTAATTTACCTTCCAATGGTCATAAAAAAATAGGTTTACGGGGTTGTAAACAATCTGATTCTGCCAAATCAGAACTTTTTTGTGCTTTTCAAAGAATATTGGAGTCTACACAGATACTTCTCTTAAAATTCTCTTCTAGTACTGGTGGAGTTACAGCAGCAGTAAAAGCAAGGGCAGCCCTGGAGAAGGCTTGTCAGGAATTGTTCTGTATTCCTTTTTAACTCCCTCTCAAATGCGCTATGGGACTCAGCTACCACAAAATGCCCAAGGGAGGTTTATGGCTCCCACAGTCACTGGCTCTGATGGAGGAGCAAGTAACTGAGATTGCAGAAAAAAATATCAAAAGTTCTGCCAGACCTCAAGGTCCAAAGAGTGTTTAAAGCATGAGATCCACTCACAATGAGATCAAAAGCAATATCAGAGAGGAAGAACATATTTATTACCCTAAATGTATGGCTAGGCAGAGTAAGAAAAACATAGTTTGTATCGAAGGAATTATTTTAAATTGGTATTGAAAACATAGTTTCTATCAAAGGACCTATTTTAAACTGGTACTAAAACTCACTGAGAGTTAAAAATATTTCAGTGGGTAGTCAGTAAAAATGCTTGACATATTTATCCTGTGTGGGGAAAAAATATTTCCATTGTTTTTAAATTATGGGGGTTACTCATGTAATGACTTCTAATGATCCTGATTTGAGAAAAGCACAGGATTTCCTGTGGCATGAAATAATTTCTCAACACAAAAAAGGGAAGCTAACAGTGTCCAGATTCATGCCTGATGAGCCTTCTTTCATTCACAAGAACAGAGATGACTTGGTAAAATGATGACTAGTGATAAAGTTTTAAAACATCAACTTATATCAAAATAGCATGACCATTATTTTCTCTTAATGACAAGAAAAAAAAAAACACCCAAAGATGATCATTAAGATTACCAAAAAGCCAAGCCTTCAAACTCAAGTGGCTGTAGCTTAGAAATGAACATTAACTTTTATACTATATAGCACAGCCAAACCATGAGATAACTGGTCTCTTTTTATGCTATTACAGTACGTATCTTAAGTATTCCTCACGCTATCTCCATTGCTCACATAAATATTTTAAGTTTCTATGTATTTTGCACTGAAATATAATTTACTCTGTATTTATGAAAACAATGACATTTACATATAGTCATCTTTCTGTTCTGCTTCTGGAATAAAGAATGGTGTCCATGAAAAAATGTGATGCAGCTGGAAATATTCAAATTGTGGAAGCATAAGAAAAATCTTTCATTTCTAGAATATCAGTAAGCCACAAGCATTCCTTCAAATGAACTTCTACCTTATTTAACTTTATTTTATTAGACATCATAGCAGCCTTCCAGACCTCACAGCAGCCTTCCAGTATCTGAAGGGGGCCTAAAGGGATGCTGGGGAGGGACTCTTCATTAGGGACTGTAGTGACAGGACAAGGGGTAACGGGTTAAAACTTAAACAGGGGAAGTTTATATTGGATATAAGGAAGAAATTCTTTCCTGTTAGGGTGGTGAGGCACTGGAATGGGTTGCCCAGGGAAGCTGTGAATGCTCCATCCCTGGCAGTGTTCAAGACCAGGTTGGACGAAGCCTTGGGTGGCATGGTTTAGTGTGAGGTGTCCCTGCCCATTGCAGGGAGGTTGGAACTAGATGATCTTAAGGTCCTTTCCAACCCTAACTGTTTTATGATTCTACGATTTTCACCCTTTCTTCTTGGAAAGCAGCACTGAACACATTTTCAAAATAAAGCTATATACCTGTCACTCATCTATCTTTTAAAAATGATTTTGTATTCTGTGGTGTGTTTTATTAGAATTACATTTCCTTCCCAATGAGGAAATGGGTCGAACTATGCCTGTTCTCATTTTCAGAGGTCACCTGGGCTCCTACACCACAATATCATTTGGTATGCAATTTCAAATGGAATTTAGGCAACCAAAGCGCATACACTTCAGTCACTTCTGAAAATAAGACTTAGAATTTGGAATAGGATAGGTAGTTTTGAAAAGTCTCTCTCCATCACAAAACATTAATTCTTGTTACAGGAAGGCACATTTCATTTCTACTTTTCAAGCACAGAATCAAAATTTACACCAACTGGATAGTAGTGGCCATTGGTATTACTGTGATGATTCAAACGAACAGGTTTATTAGATGATGGCTTAGAAGATTTCCTCAAGTGCACATTTTTAGCCACCTTATATTGTGACAATATGACTCGTTTGCTTTGCTCGTCTTTCAACTATTCCTAGCATCTATGACTTTGGGCACTAATGAAGGAATGAGCATACCAAAAGTCTCTATAGGTTCCACAAGGGTTTGCAGGAACATTCACCCACACAGATGAGATGATGAAGAGAGGAAAGAAAGAGAAGGAAAAAAGAAAAAAAAATTATGCATTTCCACAATAAACACATAGAAAACACAAATACATTCCACCCGTTCCCCTCCCCACTCAAGAACGGACCCTTTAACAAACCAACCCTTTCCCACACAGACAAAATGACTCATGCTAAATCACAGAATGTTTGAGCAAAGAAAAGAGGAAAAAAACAAACCCAGAGGCAGCTAAATTCAGTATGAAAAAAAGATGATGCATCACAGAAATAAGCACAGCTTATAAAACTTCAACAGATCAAGTTGGCATCTTTAATCATTAATCTATTCCAGGACACACATCCAAGGAACTGTTGCTAACAAAAGTGTATCTATCTTCATCGCAGCATGCTGGATCACAATAAAACCTGTAACCGGGTGATCTTCCCACTACTTAGCACTTTGTTCCAGAAGACAGCATGTGTGAATTGCATGGCATGTGGTGCATAGCACAGAAATGGCAAGCAGTCTCAAAAAAAAAAATAAAAAAATTCACAATCAAATTTCAGTCCTTCTATCCAACAGCAGCAAAACCCCTCAGAAAGTCTCAACCGCACAGCCCAAGCTGCTGTATGCAAACTGGAACACATATGGAAATCCTGTATGGTCACCATACGATGAAATGATTTAATTTTGTAAGACTCTCAAAATAGAAAAAGAACTCAGGAAAGAGATGTTGACAGAAAGGTTCCCATAAACACTGAAAAGCAAGGATCACACTTATACAGTTGAGCACAGTAAAGATGAGGGTGCAAAGAGTACAGCAAAGATCAGCCAAACAGACCCTATTCAGACTGGTTTCACTGGTACAGCACAAGCTGGAGCAAAGGAGGCTGAAACTAAAGGAAGAAAAGCTCTTGCTTTACATGAGTAGTAGCACTGGTGAGGGTGACAGCAGCGCTCAAAACAACTGGACATGTGTGAGAGACTGAACTGAAATCAAACTCCATTGTCCCAAACATTGGTATGAGAAGCTGAAATGAGACTCAAAGGTCCAATGCCCAAGAGATGGGTGTGAGGAGCTGAAATGGGACTCCACTGTCCACTGTCTGAGAGATGGGTAGGAGTAACTGAGATAAGACTCCTCTGTCCTTTATCATAAGGGTTGGTGCAAGGAATTGCTGCTCATTATCTCGAGGACTGCTACAGATACGTGCAGTTGAAGACCTGGCTGCAAGAGCAGTGAAACTGGATGCTAGTGATTCACCAGCTATGTGCAGTACATGGCATTAAGAAAAGAGGTACCCCCCCCAAATATAACAGACGGGAAAAAGGTAATCGCCGTGTTGGACATCCTCCACCAGTGATGAATGCGGACCCTGGACGACTCCCACGACTACAGATGATGACTACGGACCCTCAGGACGTCGCTGGATGCACAGTGGTGACTATCTCTCTGCACTCTTGAAGGTTTGCTTAATTTCTATCCTTTTTTTCCAATCTGTCCTATCGCTTTTTTATAGTAATAAATAAACTGATCGATTATGGTGCTCAACCTCACTTGCATCTTAATTTAACTCTGGGGATCATGAACAAAGTATTTCAGACACTGGGGTTTTCCCCAGCTGGACCTTGACGATGTGTCAGGAAGCACAGCAGCTGGAACTGGAGAGAATGCACCAGTGGTCCAGAGACTGAGTAAGCACAAACACAC